GCTGCCAAATTGACATCTCTCCCCTCAACGATTTGTTTGTGGGTCGTATCCGACACGATATCAAGGGGTGGCAAACGGTCTGGTGATACGCCGTCGCAAGAAAAGAAAGGGTACGCACCTGTCATGTCACTTGATGTCGAACTTTCTGGCGTGTCATTAAGTTTCGCCATGGCCTCTTCTAGCGCGTTCCTCTCTGTAGGAGGCTGCTGATTTGACGTGCTAGCTTGGGAGGACCTGTTCAGCTCCCGCTGAAGGAGTAGGTTGATTGTTGTTTGTAACTGTTGTAATGTGTCATTCTGCGACATGGGCGCCGCCATATTGTTTGTCGCTGCTGCGCGCGCAGCCCCAACTTCCGCCCCACTATTAATAACTTCTGAACGTGACTGTGATGCACTTTCAGTTTCTACATCTAACACGGAATCCACGTTTTCGATTGACACATTGTCTACACGCGATCTTCCTCTACGTGCAACGAGTGTAGGCCTATTTGTCGACGTTGGTGAAACCACGGCCTGTTCCGTGGGCTGGTGACGCTTAGCGTTCTCGACGTACAGTGTCCGCAGAGTGGCTTTAGACATTGAAACAGGTGTCCAAAAGCCCAGTTCTAGCAATTTCTCTCTCAGCATACCGACTGTCCAATTTGATGGGTTATGCATGTCGTATCCTGGAATACTTTGGTCAGTGGAAGGACGTTTTCCTCGACCTCTTCCCGCCATTGCGGATGCTTCCGATCGAGATGCAAAACGTGCTGTCCAAAATAACTCCGTGTCATCTGTTAACTAATATATTCCACACTTCAAACATACGTCCCAAGTCAAAAGTAATTTCTTATATCACCTACAGAATGTTTTCTTGCACACGAGAGGTAATAAATGAAAAGTCACTAAATATTCAGACACACAAATCTTCTGCAAACAGGCTGCTGAAACTGACCCAAAACAAAGACTGAGTCACGTGACTAAACTGACCAATCACTGACTGTACTTGACCACCGTGTCACGTGGCTGAAACTGACCATAGCTGACCTAACTGCCTTGCGCCTGCGTGTGAAATGGTAGACTTGTCTTAGTTCATAAACCACACTTATGTACATAAGTTTCAATTTATGGAGGCCTATATTCCACTGTATACATGTTTATATGATGAATTTCTCCTAATGAAATGCCTAAGATAAAAAAGCACAGCTTAAATGTGATGGAGAGGATATATATGAATTGAAAGATCGATTTCAGTTTTGAAATCAACCAAAACATTGAGAGCTCAATATCAAATTAAAGGAAATAGTGAATTAATATTAAAAATGAATTTGATTTAATTTACAGTAATTATGAAACATGATATAAACGTATATTTATCACTTTTGTTAGCCCTGATAAAGAGGCCACCAACAGGGTCTTAATATTTGAGGAAACAGAAGTACCATGGGCTGCATGTCATGACCCTTTAAAAGGACATTTTGACATACAATTTGGAAATAAAACACCAGCTGCTGTCTCCGTGAAAGATGTATAGATGTACAGAGGTCTTTATAAACATTAAACACTAATATACATAGGAACTTGCATGAAACAGCTGGAGCCCAGATAAGAGTAAAAAAGCAATGATGGTAGATTATTGAAACAGTTAATTAGTATACATGTATTTCTATTGTTTCACATTGGCAGTATCAGTGAGATTTCAATTGAAATACCTGTAATTAGTACATTTCTATTGTTTCAGATTGGCAGTACTAGTGTCGGTGAGATTTCAAGTGAAGTACATGTAATTAGTACATTTCTATTGTTTCAGATTGGCAGTGTCAGTGAGATTTGAAGTGAAGTACCTGTAATTAGTATAATTTTATATATTTCTATTGTTTCAGATTGGCAGTGTCAGTGAGATTTGAAGTGAAGTACCTGTTAGGAGAAAATGTTACGACAACTCCTGTTGCTGATTTCCTGTCAGACTCTCATTCACACACATGGCGTAAGTTTGTTTGTTTATCCGAGATCTAAAGGGGCGTGTCATTTGCTGTTATGCTATAAAGAACCATTCACCACAGATGTAGAAAGACGACATTTAAAATTCTCCAAAGCAGTTATCATGCTAACTGAACCTGTATTAAGAGACCAATCCGAGTTAGAGACAACTTAATATGCTGGAGCTGGTCTCTATATACAGGTTTGCTAGATCTGCTCATAGAATAAAACCTTGTTTATGGAGGCATGGTAGTCTTGTGGAAGGACGCCGGGCTCGTCACCGAAGGGTTGCAGGTTCACGTCACGGTACGGCACTGTGTTGTATTGGACTTTACTCCGCTTGTTCCAGTCTAATCAGCTGTAAATGAGTATGTGGTTGGGCAGTGCTAGAATTGTTGAATGCTAGATGTGCGTGCCAAAATGACAGTACCAGCTGTATGCTCACCAGGTAGTAGAGAAAGATATTGGCTTGTTTAAACAATATTTTATTTCATCACTTGCAAACTAATTTACAATACAGTACAGATACAACGAGGATCGGAAAACAAGCTATAAGCTTATATTAATTCCTCTCCTCTAGTACAGTTGCAGCAATTTACATGGACATTTACACACATCATTGATGAGACGGACAAAACATCATTTAAATAGTGAAAAAATAGTAGTTATACATTATTTGATTGGTGGTAAAAGACATTGACAACGAGCTGTTACTTAATAAAGAATAAAAAGAAAATTGATTGATAAAGATTCCTAGGAAATCACATAGAAATAGTTACCTCAGTGGTGTAAAGGAAAACTAATTCAGATGTGCAATAGCCATTAAAATCTGCTGCTGTTGACGACAAAATTCTGCACGGAAATGAATATTTCTGCATTTTCCCTATCATTTAGTGAGGGATCACCCCATAAAAGAACATCTACATTGTCATGAATATTGTAATTTAAGATTATATCAGATAAATATACTGCAGTCTGTTATGAGAATAATTAACACAAGTAAATAAACAATGAAAGTTGTCCTCTATCAGAAAGCCACAAACACAACAAGGTGAGTCAGAAAGGTTTTTGTGTCGCATGCGAAAAGCTGGTGACACATAGGTATTGCTATGTCGGCGTCCGCACAGAGGTATTCGTGCGATAACTTGAGTTTCCTTCGGCTGATCAAACTCAAACTTCATGCAGTGCTTCCTTACCAAAAGTGCTTGCTTGGGATTGCTTTTCAGGTCCGAAGTTCAAAGGTCAAGATCACTGTTACTATAAATAGAAAATCTGTTTTCGTGCGATAACTTGAGTTTCCTTTGGCCGATCAAACTCAAACTTCATGCAGTGCTAAGCATACCTGCATTTTCAAGATTTTTTTTATGGATACCAATGAGGCAATACTGGTCTTGCTTGTTGCCAAATAAGGGCATTATGTAGTAAATGCAAGAACCTTTTTTTATTTTCTAATCAATTACTTTCAAATTTTGTACAGTAATGCTATAGCTAGAAGCAATAATGTTTAACATATATTACAGGTTTTTCTAACGAGTTTCAACTTTCTGCGTTTTGGCATATCTGTTTACGTGATAACTCAAGCCAAAACACTTTTCTTACCCAAAGCGCTGAGCAGGCGATACATCCACTTCCGTGGAATTCTTGTTGTGGAATAAATGTTGGTTTAATGCTTTACCTTTGAGTCTGAGTCTAGCATGGAGTAATTGACCTTTGAAATTATATCCGATAAACCCGCTAATTTCAGCTTGTATATCAAACCTTCATGCCAAACTCTGTCGAACACTTTACTTATATCACAGAAGACTACACAAATTTCTTTACCAGAATCTTAAGTTTTCCCAATAACATTTGTAATATAAAGTACTTGATTTACAGCAGAGTCAACGAGAGTAAAACCAGACCAGTGTTCTGTAAAAAATAAATGGGTCTGTAATTAGACACAATAGTTTTGTCACCTTTTTTAAAAATGGGTGTCACATTAGCAATTTTCCAACTGACTGGATAAATACTATCATTTATAGACTTATTGAAAATACAACAAAGTGGCCTCACATAATTTATCTTTCCCTTCTTTTAAAAGTTTACCGTGTATTAAGTCAGGACCGGTTGCCTTTGATACACCAAGAACACTGATTGGATCAATCGCTGACATCTTGTGGTGTTATATTGAGTGTGTCTAGATGTGGGAGAGGAAGTGTAGCTTGTGAACTATTTATAGTGGACTGTTCGGAGAAGTAGGTGTTAAATGCTTCAGCTTTACATTGATCATCGTTAATTACCACGTCATTACATAATAAAGGAGGGATAGAAGAAGATTTCTTTGAAAACCCAGTAAACTTATTAGCTATTGTCCACCATTCCTGTGAAGAAGATTTTGTAAGCTTAAGTTTATCAGCTAGTTTACTAAAATATTCTGCCTTAGCTTTTCTTATAGCAACAACACAAGCATTTCTTAGCTGTTTAAACCTATTCCAATAAACTTGGTTCTGAGTTCGCTTAGCTTTCCTATGGATACGTTTACGTGACATTATTAATGTTCTTATATTATTTTATATTTAGGGGAATCTTGAGAACAGACAGTAATTAATTTGTTAGGGATTGAAACTGAAGCACATGCTAGTATGGATTCGGTTAAGAAGTTTACTGCATCTTGTAGATAGGAATTTTCTATATTGACTCGCCAGTCGATTGCCCAAAGTTTGGTATTGAACAAATGATAATCGCCCTGATTATATAACCATATTTTCCTTTTAAAGGTATAATTGCATGTGAATTTAGGAATATCTAGGTATATATATATAGGGCAATGATATCTGTCTATAGCTGGTAGAAAAAATTCACCAACTGATACTTTTTTGATAATGTTCGCGTTGTTGTATGAATAAATCAAGTAGAGAAGAAGATGATTCCGTGAAGTTTGTAGGTTCCTCCACTAATTGCGTTAACGAATAACGACTAAGTATATCATTGATACGTACTGGCCTGTTAGTACCTGTAGAGTTCAATAGATTTTCATTAAAGTCCCCCGTAATGAAAATGTTACTAATATTCGTTTCAACTTCTAGGTCTATAGAGTGTTCTATAAGATGCCATAGTTCATTACTAGAGTTTGGAGGTCTATAAAAAGTTCCAATGAGGATGTTAATATTGATTTTTCTTAACTGTAGCCAAATACATTCAAGACACATAACTTCTAAATCATTACGTCTATGAACATTTATATTTCTGTTCACATACACTGCTATGCCCCCGCCAATGCAGTCATATCTACTATTTAGATATTGGCTGGTTTCAAAGGCCCTATAACCATGGATAGTTATTTGTGAACCGCTTTGGGACGACCTACAAACTAGGTTTTGATGAAGTGGTATATAAGAACCACAAATTATTATTATTAAATGTATTATTATAGGATGCTGCAATCCCTAAGGATCCGGAGTGTGGCCTCACCAAGGGATGCTTCAGTGGATGTATTGGTGGCTGTTATGAAACGACATGGAAAGAGGTCGGAGACTCCATTGAATTTACCCTGAAGGCTGAGGTCACCACGGAAGGATTCATCGCCATTGGATTCTCTGACGACAACAAGATGGTTAGTTAAAGTGTACCAAATGAAATATTTTTTACGTTTGCTTTAAATGTTGAAAAATATTGAAAATGTTTCTTAATTATTGTGAATTGTGAATTGATGGTTAATTTTTTGCTCACCTGGTCCAAAGGACCATGGTGAGCTTATGCCATACCGCAGCATCCGGCGTCCAGCATCCGTCCATCAACTTTTCCTTTAAAACGCTACTACTTGGTAGTCCTGAACGGCAAAGTAGATTTTGACTAAATTTGATCTCGTCCAGGTCACGCCCTAAGGTCGGTCAGCTCCTTAGATGCGGATAGGCTGTGGCAGTTACATACAGCACGCATACGGGAACACGCGAAACACGTCCTTTAAGCAGCTTCACTGCCCTCCTATGTGGGTGAAGGGGAACCAATTTTGTATAAACAGTGCGTCTAGCCCCCCAGGGGGCTGAGGGGCGGGGCCCAATATTAGAAACATAGCAAATTATTCTTCAAAATCCTTCTTCTTCCTTAGGAATGAGAGGATTTGGTCCATATTTGGTGTTGAGCATCCTTGGGTAAAGGGGAACCAATTTTGTATAAAAGGTGGGTCTGGCCCCCCTGGGGGCTGAGGGGCGGGGCCCAATAGGGGAAATATAGCAATTGTTTTTAAATCCTTCTTCTTTTGTAGGAATGGAAGGATTTGTTCCATATTTGGTCTGAAGCATCCTTGGGTGAAGGGTTGGTTGGTTGGTTGATGGGTTTATAGACTACTTTTCACGGGCAAAGCCATGTTCTGTCGTCTTGAGGGGGTAAGACTCCAGCTTACCGGGCCCTTGGAGATTCAAAATAACCTTGCCCGTCCAGGTCACGCCCTAAGGTTGGTCAGCTCCTTAGATGCGGATAGGCTGTCGCAGTTACATACAGCATGCATACGGGAACACGCGAAACACGTCCTTTAAGCAGCTTCACTGCCCTCCTATGTGGGTGAAGGGGAACCAATTTTGTATAAACAGTGCGTCTGGCCCCCCCAGGGGGCTGAGGGGCGGGGCCCAATAGGGGAAATAGAGGTAAAACCTTTAAAAACCTTCTTCTACCGTAGGGTTTAAGGGATTTCATCCTAATTTTGACTGGAGCATCCTTGGGCAAAGGGGACTCAATTTTGTATAAACGGTGGGTGTGGCCCCCCCCCCCCCCTGGTACCTGAGGGGTGGGGCCCAATAGGGGAAATAGAGGTAAAACCTTTAAAATCCTTCTTCGACCATCAGGATTAAGGGATTTTATCTTTATTTAGTCTGGAGCATCCTTTGGCCAAGGAACTCAATTTTGTATAAACGGTGGGTATGACCCCCTTAGGGATGGCCTCTGTTTGAAATTTGTTCTGGCTATATCTCAATTACTGGATGGATCTTTCTGAAATTTCATATGTACTTACAGCACCTACAATGGAGTGCTTTATCTTTTCTTCATACCAATTATTTTAAACATATTCAGGTGAGTGATACAGGCCCTCTGGGCCTCTTGTTTACTTTTTACCCTTATTTATTTCTGACATATGAAAAAAAAAAATATCTCAGAGTAACTCAGTGGCAGATTTAGAGGTTTTTGAGCTTCAGGAACTCCCCTGAAACCCCCAACACCAACTAGGGAATTTCCATTCCATCCTGCCAGATTTGTCTCTGGATCAGCTTTGTAGTGTTGTGGGTTAGTAGTGATTTGTGTTTTGTCACTTCAGGGTAGTGACAGTGCGATTGGATGTGTGAACACTGGGGGAAGTGTTCAGGTGCTCAACAGCTTCAACGCTGCCGGTGCGAAATTCAACCAGCCCATCCCAAACGTAAGTCATACAATACATGTAGTGAAAATCTGGGAGTACATATTAAATAATTAAGGATTGTTTAATCCTGATAGGCTTATCAACAACTGAATGTAAATCTTTACTCCAATTTACCATATCCGATATAATGACCGAGGGTACCTGTTGTAATGATACCACCAGGACAGATTCAACAATTTCTGGAAATTGTATGGTTGTTATTTTTAGACAATTCCAACACCCAAAGTAATGTTGTGTCGGTTTAGACAAGAATTATTTTTATGTTGTCACTATCAGCTGTCAAAATATAGAAGGAAAGTAGGCAAAACACTTTATTTTATAAAAAAAAAGGGGGTAATAATCATAGAATTTAAAGAAAAATGATTTTGAAAAAAGAAATGGCACATGACACAATAAATTGGATTGAAATGATGCATTCTGCGGTCCTGGGGTCGGAATTTAAACCCTCAGGCAAAAAAATAAAAACAATTGAGCAATCAAAAACCATGGTATAGGAACGGAAAGCAGAGACATGTTTTTTGATTTTTTGCCTAATATGATTTTCCTTTTGTTTATTTGTAGAACAAGCTTGGATTGAGTTCTGAGTCAGGGTCAGTAGCAAATGGATTGTTTACCTGCAGTTTTACACGAAAGACATTGTCAACAGACAATCAGATCTACAGCCTCAACAACGATTACTATATTTTGCTAGCCAAGGGTCCAGTATCTGGCAGTAAGTGTTCAGACAGAAGTACTCTAGTCTGATACTGAAATTGGTATCTAATTATTGCAAAATAAACTTTATTCCAAACAATGACAAAACATTGTCAGAAGTATTCAAAATTGTGGATAACCAACTATACTGACTCCATTTGTCAAGGGAAATTGTGGCATTTTATAAATTAGTTATGTGATAAATCACAGTATACCGAAATGTTAAGAAAAAAGGAAAAGGAGACAGTGAAATGATTCTGTCAGTAAGAGAGATCACCAATATAATGAGGGACATTATTGCTGTATATACATATTGTAAATATGACAATATATAATATTGTAAATAATTACATGTTCAAGTAATAAATAAAATCTGTTTAAATCGACCAATAAGTTTAAATCATGATACTTCCCCCTTGTCCTTATCCATTTTAACACACAAACCTGCAGTAGTTAATTTGTTGCCAAGCAGATCTATGCCAATATGAAAAGAGTAGAAATTTACACACTTCGATTATTTTTGGCCATGAAGTCAACACGATATTTTGAAAGATGTATTTATAAAAGTTAACGGGGCAAAAATATTATGTGATGTATTTGCACCAACAACAGATATTTGTTTAACCTGTCTTGAGCTGAAGGGATGGGGGGGNGGGGGGGGGGGGTAGGGCAGCGATGGCTGAGTGGTGAAGGAATCTGATCATTTACAATCACTAGCCCTCCACCGCTAGATCGGGGGTCCAAGGCATACGTGGGTCAGTCACCATGTACTGGCCACAGGTCAGTGTTTCTTTCTCCAGCCACTCCAGTTTTTATCCACCACCAGAACCGGACACATCCTTAAATGACCATAGATGTTAATAACATGTAAAACAGAAACAAAGCAAACATGAACTGAAGGGACCAGAAATATAATCTCACATGAAAACATATTCTGCAGCTTGACATATTTGAAATATATTTAGCCATATACAGTATTAAGAACTTTCCCATTTAATATGTCTTTCCATTAGCTGCACTCGGGCGCCATGATCTGACGAACCTGCCCTTGGTCTCGGCACAGATGGCTGATTTCCAGTCTACAACTGATCTGACTGGCACTGCTGTGAACATCATGGTCAAACTTCATGGTAACATTTTATTCATAAGTCATTTTATCTGTAATATGGGATTGGTGTTGCACTCTTGGTGTGTGTAGTGAATATACTGACACCAAGTTAAAGTTTTAGATTTATTATATATTTACCCTCATTTCCTCAGTTGTCACTCTTCAATCAAAGATCTTGAACATTGAAATACCTGTACCAGAGAATTGGAAATAACAATACCTTAAAAGGTATACTGATTATAGATTAAGGTTCAAGGCTTTGATTATTACCTATGTGGGTGTTGTTTTTTTTTTGAGATTCTTTATTCATATTTTCCTGGGTATTTTTTACAGGTTGTTTAATGATATTTGCGTGGATATTTTTGGCAAGTATTGGTATTGTGCTGGCCAGGTTCTACAAGCCCGTCTGGTCAGATAAGAAAATGCTGGGAGAAGCTTATTGGTTCCAGGTTTGTAGAATAATAATTCTAGAAATAGGAGAATGATACTCCAGGAAATGTAAACGTTGTAGTGTCATAATCACAGGGACAGTAGATAATTAACTAATCTATGTTAATCTGTTGGTTTCTACGAAAGTGTTTAAATACGGGGATCTTCCTGATCATTACCATAGATATTTGCATATTGCGCATACTCGTGTATAATGCACAGGTACATTTCTTTGGTGAAAAAAATATTGATCTGTTTTTCATATTACAAGACTTGATAAGTCTTGAATAAAATGCTGGCCTTTCATTTTAAAAACCAAGGGATTGGATGTAAATATAGGCTAAGTTTCATTACATTTTGCAGATATGATCATGATAGGGTAAGTCAGGGTCACAGAAAGAGGTCAAATGTCACTAGTCCAATATAGGATTGTATATGTCGGTCTAATGGTGATAAGATATTTAAATTTTTCAAATCTGATATGATAATTGTTTTTTTACAGTTGCACAGATCTCTGATGATACTGGCAACATTAGCGGTCATAGCAGGCATTGTGGTCATCTTTGTTGACGTTGGCAAATGGAGTCAGGTAAGTTAATTTGGCTTCTGAATAATGTATTATGTACAACATAAATGTTTGTTGGCACATATATACATGCAGCACCATTTACAAATTACAAAGAAAAGATTACACAAAATTCAGAATACAGCAAAGCATATTGTCTATAAACCACATTTAGGATATTGGAATCACTGTCGTTTTGATGTTGAATCACTGTTAATTTTTGGTTTGGATCTCTGTCAATTAAAAGTTTGAAACACTTGTTTTTAAATCACTGTCAATTCAAGAATGGATCACAATTTATGTATAGTTACATAAATATGTTTTAGCTACTGTCTGTTTTGTATTTGATTGTTTCCTCATCATTTGATTGCAGCTGATTGGTCAGACGGACTGGAAGAGAGCTCATCCTTACATTGGTGTTGTTGTTGGAGGTGTTGTTCTCCTCAATGTAAGTACTGCTCATCATAAAAGTACTCTATAGTAGTATACAGTACCATTCATCATAAAAGTAAGTTATAGTAGTATACAGTATCGCTCATCATAAAAGTACTCTATAGTAGTATACAGTACCATTCATCATAAAAGTAAGCTATAGTAGTATACAGTACCGCTCATCATAAAAGTAAGCTATAGTAGTATAAAGTATCGCTCATCATAAAAGTATAGGAGAAATTTGATTAAGTTGACCCCTTTCTTTGTGTTTCAGTCCTGGGTGTTTTGAATCCTTTTAATTGAGTTTCAGGCCCTGCTGTTGCATTTCAGATCCTTTTAAGCCCTTTTTGTTGTCTCAGACCCTTTTAACTGCTGCTTGTTTGTTTCAGTCATGTTGATCCCTGTTTCAGATACTTTTGACCTTTGTTTGATGTGTTTCAGCCCCTTATGGCCCTTTTTAGACCACACCCAGAAGACAAGTACCGCTACATATTTAGCTGGGCTCATTGGGCAGTGGGAACCTTAGGGCACCTCCTTGCAGGTAAGTGGGACCATTTAAGTATATAAATCTGCTAAATGGCATTTTTGTTGTTTTGGTTGTGGAAAATTTCACATGAAATAGGGTATTTTATTGATCTGGTCCCAGTTTTAAAAAAGTTAATTACCTATGAAAGGATATTATCAATTCTCAAAATCTGATGTTGAAAAAAGTCTAGATTTTCTCATGTACTTTAGTTTATGAACTTTGATGACAGAAAAAAAAAGTATTTTAGAGGAATGTTGAATTTTAAGGTTGACTTTAAACCTGAATTAGCATTAAAGTAAAGGGAACCAGCAAGCTAAACTGTATAGCATTACCATTTATGATAGACATTTGTTAATTAGTGTAAATTTCTTATTACAGTTTTGAACATTTTTATTGGTGTGGAGTTACCTGCGGCTAAGGCACCGTCCTGGCTAATCATAGTGCTCGCTGTGTACGCAGGCTATCAGATCCTGTTCGAGATCTTCCTCGAGATTTACGACAATTGTTGCACTGGAGGAGCAAAGAGTAAGTTCTAAATTATTTAGTTTATTTATGTATTTAGAACTTTATTAATTTATTCAGTCATTTATTACTTAAACAATTTATTTGCTTGATATTTGATTTATTATCTGATTCAAGTCTTATTCAAGCTTTCGGGCCTCCTTTTTTTCAATTACTTTTTGCATGTGCAGTTCAGTTCAGTATTTATATTCTATTTCCTTTTATAGCAATATATATATACCTGTATTATAAATATCGGCTTATATTTTCTGGCCTTTCACAAATTTATGTTTCTTTTCCAAACACCGCTAGAATATTTCAACCATTTTTGAGTTGGAATTTTACTTTATTTGCATAATGTTTTCAAGTTATATACAACAGTGATTTGTTGTAGGTAATGTTTTAGTATGATAGTTCAAGTTGCCACACTTTCCCAATTTTCATCTTTTCATCAGTTTTTAAGCTGAAATTCTGGCCCATGTGTAATAGAAGAAGAGAACAAAGTTAAATATTTAAAGCTCTTTTAAAATATCCAAACTTTGACAATGAATGCATATCTTTATTAAAAACTACGTTTGTTCTTAATTTCACATTTCATTTTTGAGAAGTAATTTTGGAAAACATCGTTTTAAAAAAAATCCTATTTTGTGTGAAATTATAAGAGAAATAATAGAGTATCGGTGATGAAGGAAAAGTCAGATGTGTTAATGTCATATGTTCAGTGTTTATTAAAATTTTATCACTGCTTCTTTTTCATATGTGTTAAAGGGGCTGGTCGGGGAAAAAATGTCATATTTGCTAAAATGGCATACACATGTTTAAAATACCTTCTTATGAAATATACCGATTCAAATTTTGCTGAAATTCACTTCCTAAGTGAATTTTTTTTAATTATATTAAAGAAATCCTAAATCGTCACCTGACAGTCTAAAACTCTCAATTGACCCAGATCAGTGATGTAATTTTACCGCACATGCGTCATCAACAAGGCCAAATGTAAACATTGCGACGAAAGAAAAAGATGCATGCAAAAGTCATGACAGGCACGAGGTATCAATACTGTTATATATAACAACAACATATAGGTAGGAATACTACACTTGCATCATACATGACCTTTGAAAACAATTATTTATGTATAATAATGCTGTCTTGTCTGCTAGTTGAGTCTGACATGGCACATGACGGCGTGCTATTGTTGTTATCTTCAATGCCTCACTTTCGAAACAACCACGTGACCTATATAAATAGATCTGCGTTAAATTTACGCGGGGCTTCCCCAATATTTCAGTGGTCAAAACTGGACATTGCAAGTAGAACTCGACCATCATATTGCTGTGGCATAACTTTTGGAAGGCCAGCGAACGCATTTAGACCCATTTATTTTGTAATTTTTTCCCTGACCAGCCCCTTTAAAGGAAATTGGAATAAAAATCACAAAAAATTTAATTCAGATAGTAATTCCCAAAGAGTTCAGATATCAATTTTTCATAACATATACAGTAAAAAGACTCTCACCTGCAGGCTCATTCATGTGTCATTTGCATTATAAGGAAAAATCCAATCAAATGTGTTACAACAAATGTTCTAATGACTTCTTCTACAAAGCTGTAAGGCCTGTAGTCATGTTGATAAAAAAAAATGTGACCTTGATCTTCTTACCTGGTCGAACATTGGACATATGAACTTCAAACGTCTTCTACGCAACCATGAGACCTAGAGTCATATTTGTTGTGTAGCTTGTTGGGTGGAGAGGAATCAATTATGTTCAAACATATTCCGTCTTTGCGTATTGCAGAGTTATCTGCTCTTGTGAGCAGGTATTGATTGTTTATTTGTTTGAGAGTAACGGCATCAATTTTTGAGAAAACCACGTAATTTTCTCACACAAACCAATGACGTAACAATCAATACCTGCTCACAAAAGAAGATAACTCTGCAATACTCAAAGACGGAATAACCTCTGTTCTCTTATGAAGTCACAGGATTCATTTGTCAAAAAAAAAAAAAAACTTTGAAAATAACTAGAATGAAGTTCTATAGTATTTGATTTTTCTTTTTAAATGGATGAGGGCAGTTGATTTAAGGATATAACATAATTGCACCGTTGACAGGAATACATGCAATGTTCTCATTCAACATTACACACATTTATATATACATGTATACACATAACATGCATTACACTCACACATTCATTTTACAGTCTCCAAACTCAGGGCCATGTACATGAAATTTTCAAAGGGAGCTAATGCAATGGGTAAGGCTTGCACATGTTTGATTACACAAACATTGGTGTTACTAAGGAAATCCAAAACCATCCTTATTCCCATCACAGCTACTTAACAAGTTGAATTTTTCTTTCTGATAAAACTGAAATTACAGTGTGTTCCTATGTTATCCGTATACTGTTTTATCATGTTAGCAAAATATGTATTGAGAAAGCCGAAGAAAATTTCACATTCAAAAGCCTTTGACAGTATACAGCACACAGCTAAGGGAAATACAGTCTAATCTGTATCAGAGACTACATTACGAATGGCTCAAAAGGTAGAAGTGGTCTCTTAACAAAGCTGGTCCAGAGTATTAATATATAGTAATTTCTGCTTTGTCAGGGAATGAGAAAGTTGTTGTCTCTTAAAAGAGAGAGGATTGCTTAAAAGAGGTGGTCTCTTGGTCAGATTTGACTGTATTGGACTTCATTAGAAACTGGATAGCATTGTGCATATAGTTGGTTAGCTAGAACTGCACATTTGTGTTTTCAGAAGCTGGACTACATACTAGTGGTAGTAAGTAAAATATATATATATATATTGTATATGTAAAGATAAGGAACACTTGTGTCTCATAAATGGCAACCTGTTATAATGCTCACAACATGATTGCTTATAGCTTTTGTGTGCCTCCTAGATAAAGCATGGATTGAAATCTTGACTTGCATCCACCAATTGATCTCATGGGTGTGAGGCTTGTGACCATTGTGTACCAGTGTACCTGTGTGATCTCATGGGTGTGAGGCTTGTGACCAATGTGTCCCAGTGTACCTGTGTGATCTCATGGGTGTGAGGCTTATGACCAATGTGTACCAGTGTACCTGTGTGATCTCATGGGTGTGAGGCTTGTGACCAATGTGTACCAGTGTACCTGTTGTAAATCATGTCCATAGCAGGAAAAATAGTTTATACGCAAGAGAAACAGTGTTTAACCCTTTCACCCCAAAGTAACTTTAGTAGACTCTACCATATATTTATCTGGGTGAGTCCATTATGGTCTACAGTGGTGAAAGGGTTAATTGCTGTTAAGTTGAATGTGTTGAAATGTTTGGTCTGGGTCCCGCCATTAAATGATAAGATGATGGTGTAACAATATTGTGTTACAATAATCTGAATCAGTTTATGTGTCTGACAGTTAACCTCATGTTAAACATACTTAAAAGCCTTTATTTCGACATCCCCTCATTTTGCAGATTTTCTAAATTGGTCAATTTCACACCGGGATCTGATTTTCGCAGATTTCATGTTTATACTGCTGCAGTTGAGATGGATTAATTTGTTTATTATTTTGTGAGTTAAAGTTGTTCGTTAAAACTTAGAGCCTTGCCAAATAAAAACCTCTACAGTATATGTACACCTAGTTGTGATATACTGCATATTTCCAAAAAGAGTTGAATAGTTCGAAAAAAGTAAATTGATGACACATCTGAAAGGTACATAGGAACACATCTATTGATAATTTCCGTATGATTACGCAATGGCAAGTTTTAAAAAGGGAGATAACTACAGCAAAAATCACAGGTAACATATTTTATACCTGCATCTGTGAAGATGAGTGACCTCATTGTGACAAAGTCTATTTATATCATGGAACCACATTTCACCTTTGCCAGTTTTAATGCATCATGCAATGCTTATTATACCAAAACTTAGGAAAAAAGAAAATTACATTGATTTATTTGTGCATGTAGATCTAGGAGAACACAAGAATCAATAAGTATGAACCACAATGCTACAAGGCAACAAGGTGTCCCAAACTATGGAGAGTCAAAGCCATGTATACATATCCTCTTTCATTTCTCAACTTGATTTAATTTATGATATACATGTATGTATATTTTTTAGGTTTTTGTTTTCCGATATGATAATTGACCCTGTATATAAAGACAATTAATCCAGAAAGTCTGTTTACCTGCATATCTTCTGTCGTATATGATTTATGCATGTTCCTGTGTGTGTTAATTAGTAATTACATGCTTTATACTAAAAACTTAAATGATTAAAGCTACTAGTATTGGCCTTAGGATAATGATGCCTTAGTATTGGTATTTCATCAGTGTGAGGATATGAGTACAATTCACTTAGCATTTATTTAACTCTTAAAATATTTGCATGTTGTAAAAATTCGAAATTAAAAGTCATCTTTGCATGTTGTGTTGAGGAAATGGGGGCTTCAGATCTCGACCATGGATAAGTTTTCAATGTCAATTTTTTACGTTTTTGTATACATATTTATTTAAAAGATGAGAAAATTATATCATTTTTCCTTTTGTATTCTACATCTATTTGTTTAATTTGATAACATCAATATTCATAATAGTTAAATACATTTTATAAAAAATAAAAAAAATATATATATAAAACATTTCTGCATGTGTAAATGAGAATACGAAATATTGTGTTTATTATTTCATTTGCACACATGTTTTGAGATTTTAATAGCTTAAAAGAATCTAGCTATAGTTATAAAAACAAATGATGCGATGATTGTACACAGGCTTTCCTACATTGTGAAATCAGTACAGCGAACTGTACTGACAGAACGGTCTGGCATCCTGAGTGGTTTCATACAGATAAACAGAGGTCAGGGTTGATTTGATTAGAAATCGTAAAATAAATTCAAATTATAAGTTTTAAAATATTAATAAAATATAGATATTGTTGCTATAACACCCCATAGCTTGAACCCCCGTTAAAGCTAACATTTCAATCAAACGTCTGTCACCCTTTATCCACTGTTGACATGTTGTATAATAAACTGGAGTATAACGAAGGTCATTTATGTGTATCTTTTTACTATTTTCATAAACCTATTTTGAAGTATACAAGTGTATGTTACAGGTAAATTGTCATAAACCTATTTTGAAGTATACAAGTGTATGTCTTGTTCTGTGTGCATGCATAGAAATCTCGTGGCTCTAGTATACAAATGATATAACTTACATTATTTCTACATAATTTACCATCCCTATGTCATGAAAGATATCTTGACAATTCTGAAATAATACATACTGGAAAAGTGTTAAAATCTATCTTTAATTTTCAGTTATCATAAAAATTTCATTGCCATTTACCATCAAGAATTTTAGTCTACAATTGATATCAAGCCTTACTTCGGAAAAACTGACCAGTATTTGAGAAATATTAACTGAAATTGTTTTCTTTGTATTTTTTTCCAGAGAAGTCTGAGATGTATGAGCTTCATGAAAAGTCAACCCTCGGCCAACCACAGCAGCAAAGCACTGATTCAGGAAAAGTAAGTATTAGCATTTGATTTGAAATTGAATTCAAAATCTGACTACTTTAATTTATTGCAGATTTTAATCCAGCTCAGTTAGGTTAATGCCATTTAAAGTTATACTTTTATTTTTATTTTATTTTTATTTAAATATGATGCGTTTTTTCAAAACCTACACAAACTAAAAAATATGTATTTATAGTATTTTGTCGATATGTTTTTTTATTATGATCAGAAATTTGACTGCTTTTGTCCGAGTTATGAGAAACATTGAGCGTACTCACTTATGTAAACAAATAGATGGTTTCTATTTCGTAATTAGTGATACCTGTGTGTTACAATAAATTCTTGTGATTAATGTTGTATCTATGTTTTTTCTCGTTACCTAGGATCAAGGCATGAAGAAGGTTTTCCTTGCGGTACATGCCCTCGTCATCCTCGGATTTGCCGCCACTCTTATCATTGTTGTTATCATCTCCTAAGGAGATCAGAGATTTAGGTTTACCTTCCTTTTATTTTCAGTTTCACCTAGTGATGTAGATCTGTGTTGTGTATTGCACTGTAGCATACATAAAGTGCCTACTGTCAATTATAACGTACATTTTTTGATATTGTAATATATGATTTGACCAAGTTGTTGCTAGAAATGCTGTTTCTTACTAATGTGTTCTTAAATGTGTTTAATATGTACGTTATAATTCAACACTTTGATCTTCAGAGTATTTTTAAAGAAATGAGAGAAGTTGTATTATTAAAATGTTTTATTAATTCAAAGTCTTTGTCAGGTAAAACAGTTTTAAATACTACGTGTTATTTGTAAATCTTTTCATAAATTTTTGTTGCTTATAATTTTTAAGAAAACGACTTCTCAATCATTGTATTTGATAGAAGTTGACATTTGGTGCCTAATTAGTTACAATATAGAGCTTGAACAATCAGAACGATTATAAACAGGAATATTTCTCATTTGCATATGAAGCCTAGATTGGGATTATTATGATGTCCATGCCGTTGACCCTGACACAACAAGCATGAATCTGATAGGTCATGACACTTATCCACGACAGAGTGACAAAACGCAAATAACTCTGAGAATCATCCAAATGTTTTTGGTATTAATAGCTTATCTACATTAGAATGGGATAACTCTACTGTATTTAGAGATTTGTGGCAGTGTATTGTGATTATCCTAAATATCGATTTTACTGCCTTCACTCTGTAAAGCTATCACTCTATATACCACTGCAAATTTCAAAATACAGTCTGGTTACAATACCCTCAATTCATACACTGAAACCATTGGTGTGGAAAATCATGAAAAATCATATCACATTTATTATAAAAATTGAACTGTCAGAACATTGAATTCATACATTTATAATGTTACTTAGATTCGAGATTCTATGATCATTGTTGTGATGGTAATGTTGATATTAAATGGATCTGTTGTATTTATTTGGACATCCGTTAAAAGGAATGAATTATGTTTTTTATATATTTGTTTAAACTTTAGTTGGATTTTTGATATATTGTGCTTTACAAAAAGATATTATCTGTTATTTCTACAAGTTTTGGTCATAAATTTTCATTTAACTCTTTCTACATGTTGAAAAATAGTGTTATATATTTAACAATATGTTGGATATCCATGTACTCAGCACTATAGCTGTTGGTTCAGTAACGTATTGGTTACTTTCCTTTATTTTAGTGAAAGGTGTTTGTAAGGATTAAACTTGGGGAATTATCTCCCTTGTATTGGAAGTCTGCAACTTTTTGTTGAAACCAGATGAAAATGTTAATTAAATCATACAAGTTTTAAGCAGTACACATACCAGGTGTAGTATTTTAAAAATGCATTTCGTGGTGAGTTTAGTAAAGTTTGTTGATTTAAAATTGTGTTCTCTCTGCCGGTAGAAAAAAAATGTGTTTCTGCTGAGTAAAAAATGTATTATATTGTATTTCAGAGTACATTTTCTTTACTTGTGTTTTTAACCATCAAATCATCTACTTATTCTTACTAGCATACAGGATACGGATCAACCAAATACAAAATGTACAAAATATTTGCAAGGTAAACATTGATTTGGTAAACAAAAAAAGACCCAAAAAAAAGACAAAACATTTGAAATGAAAAGAAAACCATTTTATGACGTGAAGTAGGTCAAACCTTACTGAGTGATGGTCTTAGTAATGGTGAAGGACAGAATAAGAAACATGATGGATTCGATCTGCATTCAATGATTGAAGTGTTTACTGTAATTTTGCTGTCAGAAAGCTTTGACTCGGTCACACAATAATGTCTTGCACAATAACAATCATCGGAACCGCCGCTATACACATCGTGACGGAACTCTGCGACTCGGTCACACTCGTCATAACTGACCCAATAACAGCGTGGCTGAAATTTGTTCGACATACTTCCTTTGTTTTATTCTAGCAAGACTTCAATAAAGAAATCATAACGTTTTGTTGGCATTCTTAGAATAGTGGAACACGCGATATCATAAAACTATATAGGAGAACGCTTTAATTGCTGTAGATATATGTTACATAGTTCTTGTATTTTCTTACAATATTTACATATGATTTCATGTACATCTATGAAAATAAATATTCTTTCTATTAAATGTGATTTTGTTATTGTATTTGTTTGTATATCATCTTATTCAACAGAACGGCACTATAAAATTCAAAATCAAAATGGAAAGCTTCATGGAGGTCAACAGTAAACTACACCACGTTTAGTTACACATCGGGTGAATTCCATTGGATGATGTATGACAGGATTTTAATTTAAAATCCATAAATTAGTTTAAAGGTCATGTGTATATGTACTTAAAGTAAATCTGCAAAAGCAGTTCTCGTCTTATCTTTGAAATTCCTTCAATTATGGGGTTTTATGCACGTTTTCAGCTTTTTTGGTTCCTAGCATCACATACGAGTCATAGAAGGACGAAGCAGCTGTATGATGCAGTGTCATTCATTCATTATTGACATACTGTATTCGTTACCCAATTGTATAGGTGCAGTCAAATGTGTGTTTGTCTTGCGTTCATCTTTCAGGGCGGTAGACACTGCTGTCCCTTAGGTTTGCTGTAACCTTGGCGAGCACAGTTATTTTCTTTTGTGTAGTGACAGGGTGCATAAAACACACCTTTCTTATTATTGACTTCTGCTTCAATAGTAGTGTGTGCCAATTTGGATTACCGATAAGTCATAGAAGGACGAAACAGTAGTGTGTTGCAGGGTAATTCATTTTTGAAATACTGTACCAGTTACCAGATTTAAAGGTGAAAACGTGTGTGTGTTTCGTATGGTGGCAGAAATATACCACCATAGTTTTGCATTTATCTGTCAATGATTTACTCATTTGTAGGTTAAGGTCTACAAGCACAGTTGTTTAGATACTTACGAAAATATGAAATGTCAATGCGGATATTCTTGTGGTGTGGAATGTTCGCTTCTTATTCGACTTTTCCTAAAACGGATTGACAGTATGCCGATCTGAAAAAAATAATAAGTACACTATACAATTTGAATATAGCAGATTTGCCGACACGATTGTGTCCATATAGTGAGTTTTTGACAAATTACTATCAAAATAATACCACTGATGACCCTCCTTCACCAAGCTTCGCAATCTTGTTGATACATGGAAACAATTTTACATAATACGGGATAATTCTGGAAGTTATATTGTTCAATGGGACACTTCTGTATGTAATCGTTACCTGGTAGTCAATGGGACACTTCTGTATGTAATCGTTACCCGGTAGTCAATGGGACACTTCTTTATGTGATCGTTACCTGGTAGTCAATGGGACGCTTCTGTATGTAATCGTTACCTGGTAGTCGATGGGACACTTCTGTATGTAATCGTTACCTGGTAGTCAATGGGACACTTATGTATGTAATCGTTACCTGGTAGTCAATAAGACACTTCTGTATGTAATCGTTACCTGGTAGTCAATGGGACACTTATGTATGTTATCGTTACCTGGTAGTCAATAAGACACTTCTGTATGTAATCGTTACCTGGTAGTCAGTGTGAGACTTCTGTATGTAATCGTTACCTGGTAGTAAATGGGACACTTCTGTATGTAATCGTTACCTGGTAGTCAATGGGACACTTCTGTATGTAATCGTTACCTGGTAGTCAATGTGAGACTTCTGTATGTAATCGTTACCTGGTAGTCAATGGGACACTTCTGTATGTAATCGTTACCTGGTAGTCAATGGGATACTTATGTATGTAATCGTTACCTGGTAGTCAATGGGACGCTTATGTATGTAATCGTTACCTGGTAGTCAATGGGACACTTCTGTATGTAATCGTTACCTGGTAGTCAATGGGATATGATAATGGCTTCATTGCGTAAAGGTTTGAACAATGAAAGTAAGTAAAAATCATGATAAAAAGACGGAACTTTAAGAGTTATGTGCTTTAATTGGTTTGTTAGTGTTCAAGAAATGTTGTTTTAGTGTGCAAGGGTTAGAGAGTCAAGGACTGTATGACACATTTGCCCAGATTTCTGTTAGTACTGCGCAGTTTGTTAATGTACCAGGGAGCAGGTTTCATTGTGTTGGAAGGAATGATATTTCGTCCGTGTCTTTTGCAGCAGAAGTGTCTGTGATACGTTTGGATCAAATGTGAGAGGAATGAATGTTTTTGGCGCCTTTTACGGTTGTGAGTGGTGGGCTAATTTGTATATATGCTATGAGAATGACTGAAGTTTTATGTACCATGTCTACCAATGAGTTTGTGTCGTGCTATCTGTATCTCAGTTGTTTGGGTACCTCGGCTATTATCAGTATTGTGTAGTTATGTTATCCATCAAGTTGTAATGTAGGGACGATAACAGATGTTTTATTATTCAATAGTATTTTAGGCTCTACTAAAAGCGCTTGTGTTGGACTTTGCCAAAATGTTAAAAGAAGTTTAATATGGTGATATCTGTCTGTTGTTTTTTGCTAGGTCTTAGATATATGTTATAAGTTTTGTTTTGCAATGTCTGAAAGATGTGAGCCCGTGTTTGACATTAAGTCTAATGCTGCTGTATTTGTGCATTGTACATTTTCCATTTAGTATATTTGGTTTGTTATGTGTCGATCTCATATTGAAACGCATTGTTCCAGTATAACTAAAGTGTGTATGCGTTTCCTTTGATTTGTTGTTTGTTCAGTTTGAGTTGGGTCCTCTTTAAGAGACCTCTGCACTTTGATACACTTTTAGTGGAAGCGTGTGGCTGTGTATTTAGTTGTCATGTTGTATTTTGATACATTGAAGGAAGATAATGAGGATGAAATCTGATTAAAACATCTGTTACATGGTTTCAGTAACTAAACTCCAGTTAATGAAGTCTGTTAACAGATGATTTTATTCAGATTTGTGACGATGTTGCAATCGTCAGGATGAAAATGCAATAGCCAATCGGCAATTGTATCCAGGACTTGTTAACGTTTTAATGTCTCTTGTCAGTAGTCCGCTGTTTTGTGTATGATGCTGTCCCCCGCGAAGACATGCTGTGTTTTCCATATCTTTTAAAATTATTTTAGAGAGAGGAGGGGGCAAACTGGGTTCTTTAGATTGCTCTAGAGTTACTAGTACTGTGACTGAATGTTTACCTTCAAGAAACACTCTCGGGGTGTGTCATCATTAAAAAAAACTGTAACACATAAGAGTGTTTCCATGTTATTTAGTAGTATTTTAGATTGAGCCAAAAGTCACAGTCGTTGACAACGTTCATATTGATGATATCTGTCTGACTGTTGATATTCTATGTGAGGTTTGTTTTGCAATATCTGAAAGATCTAAAACCATGTTGGTTGTGAGTCGTATAGTATACTATGGGTATTTATGGATGATTTAAAGTGACGCTAATGAGGATATGTTCATAGTTCGCATGACATGTGTGTTTCAGGTTTCGTAGGGAATCAATACTTTACCAGTGTACACGTACCTGGCACATTTGTCAACGTATTCAAGTGCTGCAAACACTTCAAACTTTATATTAAATGCCCAAATATTCAAAGCTTGCTATCCATTTACAGGTTTGGGTAACATTCAGTTGGAACGTTAAAAAGATATAGAAATTCCTTTCAAATCGCACACATAGGAATTAGATGAATCACGAGGGACGAACTGTGAATTCGTCATATCTGTTTGTCTCTGATGTAATCTAGAATGGATCCCTTGTAAGGTATGTAATCTCCCCTGACGATTCACCTAAACACGGATACAACAGAATAATTATAGCCAGGAAGTGTAGAATTTCGGATATCGACAAAGGATCTAAAAGAAATTAGTCTTTATGAAAACATTTAAGTTATCACACACGGATCCATGATTTCTATCAGTAAAATATTTTTCTATTTAAGTTGCTATTTCGCTCTAATGATTTCTTTGCATAATATCTGCAAAGAAAAGAGAGCTAAGTAAAAAATGCAGGGTCTACCTTTGAAGTTAATTCAAGTGTGCCATACAAAAAAACTCTTTGTATTCACTCGGCATATGTTTGAAAAGAAATATCACTCCCTACTTTCAACAAGAACTAAGACAAAATGAGGTAGATATAGGTATGTTGTTAAAGATATGTTATACCAAACAAAGTGCGAGCTGTGCAAATTCCTAATCTCTAACATTTTGATGATTTTTTACATTGTCGACTTTTTCTGAATAAACACTAACACTGAACATTTAAACCATAGGAAAGGCCTGTTTATGCTAAACGCATGTACCAGGAACTACCCGTGATCTAGTAAATTTTTCTTCCCTTCAGAATCACTTGGTTTCATTATGGTTATGATGTTCATGTTCCACTTCCCATTGTTTCAGTGTCTCCTTGGGTTAATTACATGTACCATTGTTATCCATTAGTATCTATATTTTGAATTCTAATATTGTCTTTGTGTATTTATACCATAGTTTTTCATTTTTTCGTTGTTTCATTTATAACATTTATCAGAGCAAATGTAATTTTGCTTTCATTGTTGATGTAAAGGAAAAACGGATATGACGTCATTACATTCAAAGATGGCGACATTCCAAGATTAGTCTTTCATCCGATGGACATACATTATGCCTTACTTTTCTATGAATATTGATTTAAGTAATAAATTGACATTATACATGTATGTTTTCTTGATAAGCTACATGCGAATATATTCGATGACCTGATTCGTTTTTTTTCCCCATTACTCCATGAAAAACATTTTCTTGTTTTTACAATCGTTAGTTTCCCTGTCATCGACACTAACATTCCGGCTCCCTGCTTAGGACGTTTACATGTCTTTGTTGATTCGCCTCTCTAGATCATGTTCTTAGCACCAAGAATTGTGGATAGTGATCGTTTAACTTTTTAACCGGGGTTTTCGATACGAGAACCTTACATCTACGCTTAGCAAACTTGTAATTTGTGTTTGTCATAATATCAAGATTTCAACCAATTGAAATTTCATGTTTAAAAAAACTGGGCACCATGTTTTGAATCGTAAGTAACCTATATAATCGTCTGAATGTTGTATTGTACATTCCCTACCTTCCGGAACACCTGGGTTGTCGGAATATTTTTGGAAATTCTTGATATCTCCTTTTGTTTGGTTTTCTCATCAGTTCCGAATGGTCTCTTTCTGTTTAGTTTTTTAAAATCAATTTTTGTCCATGTGAATAGTCAATGAGGTTTATATTTATTTTACATTGATCAACCTGGACCACATAAGCTATACTAAATCTATTTAAATCCTAAATATTATTATGGAGAATAGATTTCGTGATAGTTTGACATTATGTTATAATTCTAAATTTTAAAATAACAATTCGTTTTTCCCATTCCTTCCGGTGCAAACGTAACATGTGGTTTGGAGCCGTGTACTGTATAGAATGGGCGTGTCTGACCTAGTCAGGTTTGCCCAATTCCACGCACGACGTACTGTGATTGTTATTATGAGTAATTTTTTAATGAGACGGATAAACCCTTCATTGATGAGTGATTTCTTTAGGAATCACGCCGACACCACACATCCATACTGACATGAATATTGAATTATATGCCGTTGATTACTTATATATACAGTAAGGGTTATGCTTGTTTTGAACACAAACAGGTATTGAAATTGCTGGTATACAGAAACACACTCATTGCATCAGCAGTTCGGGGTAGTTCGCACGCTCCTGGACAGATATATAGACATCGTAACTGAACTGAAAGACATGAAAATACAAACTACAGTAATCAAATACAAAAAACAACATTGTAAACACACCCTAACAACATGTTGATACCCCGAATGGTCGATAGGACAAGTAGAACAACAAATAGATAAATAACAGCAATGCTAATGGCCCCAAGAAACAAAACGTACAAACACAGAAAAACCAACGGCATTGTCCAGATACATAAAATGGGTGTCTAACAACACATCAGCACGTCCATGCGACCACACTTTTTTAATTTCAATTCCTGTTTGTGCTCAAAACAAAAGCCATCTTATTCCGAAATGTATCTAAATATAAGTCTTTTAAACCAAAGCGTGAAATCAAATAACAATATGTGTTCCTTTCTTTCAAATGAAACCTACAGCTTAGACACAATGCTACACCCGTTTGTATAGAAATCTGTAGCTGTTATGCTGGGTGTGATATATGTATAGCTCTGTTTATTTGTATCAATTCCGCTTGTAGGGGTTCATTACGTAGCTTACGGTGTTGTGTCACACTATTGTTTCGAATATGTTTAACCACCTAATCCAATGTCACACGATATGAGCAGGTCTCCGTTCAATTTAAAATACGACTACTATGTACGAGTAAGTTCAGCTTGATTAAACCTGTATAGGTTCTTTAACGCATACCTAACAATTACCCAAACCGTACCCGACTTGTGGTTTGTATAATCTAAATCGTAGATACCTTGAATATCGACCGGGCTCCTAGTTGTCTTTTGTCCTTGGTCACGTGTTATTACTCGTTATTCACAGAGTATGGTGGTGTGGTAACACTTGTTATTGTTGAAGTCGATTTTACCACTAAGAACAAAATTGCGTCAACTGGGATAAGTCTGTTAAATTTGAAAGTTCTATCAGTCTAAGGAGATTTTAGCAGTTGTTTTAACATTCGAAACGCACCTATGTGACAAGGTAAGACTACGTTTTATTATCAGATCGTCGGCAAAACCTTGTGATTATTGTTAGTTCTACCCGGAAGCAAATTGTATTGAGACCACAACTGCATGATTATGCATTCTTACCTTTTACTTTTAGTAATATAAGAATCAAGTATTATCTATCTTACTGATCGATTCTTTAATGTTTGTTTATCGTTTCTATACTGAATGCTTTATCTTTGCATTTAATGATTATCGACAATCATTAATACATATAACACACCAATATTTATAATAAATATATATATCCCACCAATACTAATATATATCACAACTTATACATAGCACATCAACACTTATTCATAAAATACAAATACTATAAAGTACCAATACAATATTAATTATTAATACAACGATGCTATAAAAAACACCTATACTAATAAACAATAACCAAATACTATAACCAACTCAAATATATAACACATCAGGTTATAAACAACACCAATACTAATATACAATACACAGATACTATAACCAACTCAAATATATAACACATCTGGTTATAAACAACACCTATACTAATAAACAATAACCAGATACTATAACCAACTCAAATATATAACACATCAGGTTATAAACAACACCAATACTAATATACAATACACAGATACTATAACTAATACAAATATATAACACAATTGGTTATAAACAACATCAATACTAATATACAATACACAGATACTATAACCAACACAAATATATAACACATATGGTTATAAACAACACCAATACTAATATACAATACCTATGATACTTTAACCAACACAAATATATAACACAATCGGTTATAAATAACACTAATACTTATATACAATACACAGATACTATAACCAACTCAAATATATAACACATCAGGTTATAAACAACACCAATACTAATATACAATACACAGATACTATAACCAACACAAATATATAACACATCTGGTTATAAACAACACCAATACTAATATACAATACCTATGATACTTTAACCAACACAAATATATAACACAATTGGTTATAAATAACACTAATACTTATATACAATACACAGATACTATAACCAACTCAAATACATAACACATCTGGTTATAAACAACACCAATACTAATATACAATACACAGATACTATAACCAACACAGATATATAACACAATTGGTTATAAATAACACTATTACTTATATACAATACACAGATACTATAACCAACACAGATATATAACACAAATGGTTATAAATAACACTATTACTTATATACAATACACAGAAACTATAACCAACACAGATATATAACACATCTGGTTATAAACAACACAAATACTAATATACAATACACAGATACTATAACCAACTCAAATATATAACACATCTGGTTATAAACAACACCAATACATATATACAATACATAGCAACTATAACCAATACAACTATATAACACATGTGGTTATAAACAACACCAATACTTATATACAATACACAGATACTATAACCAACACAAAGATATAACACATCTGGTTATAAACAACACCGATACTAATATACAATACGCAGACACTATAACCAACTCAAATACATAACACATCTGGTTATAAACAACACCAATACATATATACAATACATAGCAACTATAACCAATACAACTATATGACACATGTGGTTATAAACAACACCAATACTTATATACAATACACAGATACTATAACCAACTCAAATATATACCACATCTGGTTATAAACAACACCGATTCTAATATACAATACACAGACACTATAACCAACTCAAATACATAACACATCTGGTTATAAACAACACCAATACTAATATACAATACACAGATACTATAACCAACACAAATATATAACATATCTGGTTATAAACAACACCGATACTAATATACAATACGCAGACACTATAACCAACTCAAATACATAACACATCTGGTTATAAACAACACCAATACTTATATACAATACACAGATAATATAACCAACACACATATATAACACATCTGGTTATAAACAACATCAATACTATATAACACATCTGGTTATAAACAACACCAATACTAACATACAATACACAGATACTATAACCAACACAGATATATTACACATCTGATTATAAACAACACCAATACTAATATACAATACACAGATAATATAACCAACACAAATATATAACACATATGATTATAAACAACACCGATACTAATATACAACACACCAATACTGTAAGCAACTCAAATACATACAATAATAACACACGAATATTTATGTGACGTTCATATTTGACATTGATATTCGACACGCTAATTAATACCTGGCCTGTTTTTGTAGACATTAATCTGTAGTGAAAAATCAGCCTGATTAAAATTGTGTTTTGTCTTCACAGGGTATCGTAGAGGTATAGCTAGTTATTGTTGAAGAACGAAGTTGCATCAACCGGATATAGAATTTGAAGGTTTGAAAACTTTATGAGTCTAATAAAGGAAATTGAGCATGTTTTTTATAATTACGATATACCTATGCATTGCGGTAATTACGTCACGTAATATGATTTTCACCTATCCTGTTTTTTCGATATCGTTAGTAGTACCCGGAAGTGAAGTGAACTTAACAATATTTGTTTGTTCATCCATATATTTGACTATTAAAGCCCACAGATTGCCAACGCAATGTATCTTACTACTGGGTGCTTGAATTTCCTTCAAGCATTTTTATTGTGCATACCACCTCTGGTGTATTGCCGCTGATAATATAAATTTATAACCTAAGCAAACACAACCCCCTTAAGTGTGATATAAAGCCGATCTATCAATGGCGTGTTGATTGTTAAAATATTGAAAATTTACACTCACATTGAAATGCATTTTCCATTTGCATTCATTATATTCATTGCATTCATTGCGTCGTTAAGGATCCACGCACCACGGCCTAAAACTGTTAATATGAATTTGTACCGGCGTGACTTTATCATAATAAGTCATTACTGAAAAGAATATCCTGTTGTACTTTTAAAACATTTTGTTTATTAAGAAAAGTATTTTGTCGGTAAAAATACATCGGGACCGAACCGGGATTCGCACTTTGAATCTCTGATTGTAATGATGTCGCTCTAACCAAATTAAATGAGATAGCTGATCGGTGGTTATTCCTACTTCAGTTCTACCCAAATTAAGCGGGTCTTATCATAATGATAGTACGTGTGAAAAAAACGTTAACTACTGTCCAATTCGTTAGTTTGTTGTATGCAATAGGATAGGGATCCTTAGTTCCCTAATACACATTACACAGTATCAACATATAGTATACCAATCGTCGTTTAGGAATGCCTTATTGATTTAAAGGTTTTAAAAAGGGGTACGTTTGTTTTATTAACGGATCAAGGAAAAGGCAAACAAACAGTAATGTGGGTATTGCTCTTCTATGTATATTAACAGCATTATACTCAGGTACTCATATTAAATCACTGTCAACATTTACACAAACAAAGATGCCTACAGTTGACAAATGGCTTAAATAACAGCATAAAATGCTGACGACTGGAATCATGCAACTTCCCCGTTACAAGAAATTTGTTTTGGTTTGTTAGACATACAGCTGTCTAGCGAGACTGACTACCAGTAAACTAGCTAGACTGACAACCAGTCTCCTAGCTAGACTGACTATCAGTCTCCTAGCTAGACTGACTACCAGTCCACTAGTTTGACTAAATACTAGTACCCTAGCTAGACTGACTACCAGTCCCCTAGCTAGACTGACTTCCAGTCCACTTGGTAGACGACTAACATTTCCCTAGCTTGACTAAATACTAGTCCCCTAGCTAGACTGACTACCAGTACACTAGCCTGACTGAATACTAGTCTCCTAACTAGGCTGATTACAAGTCATCTAGCTAGTCTGTCTAACAGTAAACTAGCTAGACTGACTATCAATAAATTAGCTAGATTGACTGCCAGTCCAATAGCTAGACTGACCACCAGTCCCCTAGCTAGACTGAATACTAGGCTCTTGCTAGACTGACCACCAGTCCCTTAACTAGACTGACTTCAAGTCTCCTAGCTAGACTGACTTCCAGCACCCTAGCTAGACTGACTACCAATCCACTAGCCTGACTGAATACTAGTCTCTTGATAGACTGACTACCAGTACCCTAGCTAGACTGACTACAAGTCCCCTAGCTATAGTGACTACCAGTACCCTCGCTAGACTGACCACCAGTCCCATAGCTAGACTGACTACCAGTCTCATAGCTAGACTCACTACCAGTCCACTAGCTAGACTGACCACCAGTCCCCTAATTAGACTGACTTCCAGTCTCCTAGCTAGACTGACTGCCAACACCCTAGCTAGACTGACTACCAGTCCCCTAGTTAGAGTGACTACCAGTTACACAACTAGACTGACTACCAGTCCCCTAGCTAGACTGAATACTAGTCCCTTGCTAGACTGACCACCAGTCCCCTAGCTAGACTTACTACCAGTCTCCTAGCTAGACTGACTACCAGTCCACTAGCTTGACTAAATACTAGTACCCTAGCTAGACTGACTACCAGTCCCCTAGCTAGACTGAATAACATTTTCCTAGCTTGGCTGAATACTAATCCCCTAGCTAGACTGACTACCAGTCCCCTGGCTAGACTGACTACCAGCTCCCCTAGGTAGACTGACTAACATTTCTCTAGCTAGACTGAATACTAGTCCTCTAGCTAGACTGACTGCCAGTCCCCTAGCTAGACTAAATTCCAGTCCACTTGGTAGACTGACTAACATTTCCCTAACCTGACTAAATACTAGTCCCCTATCTAGACTGACTACCAGTCCACTAGCCTAACTGAATACTAGGCTCTTGCTCGACTGACCACCAGTCCCCTAACTAGACTGACCACCAGTCCCCTAACTAGACTGACTTTAAGTCTCCTAGCTAAACTGACTCCCAGTACCCTAGCTAGACTGACTACAAGTCCCCTAGCTATAGTGACTACCAGTTACCTAGCTAGACTGACCACCAGTCCCCTAGCTAGACTGACTTCCAGTCCCCTAGCTAGACTGAATACTAGTCCCTTGCTAGACTGACCACCAGTCCCCTAGCTAGACTGAATATAAGTCCCTTGCTAGACTGACCATCAGTCCCCTAACCAGACTGACTTCCAGTCTCCTAGCTAGACTGACTGCCAGTCCCCTAGCTAGACTGAATACCAGTCACTTGCTTGACTGACCACCAGTCCACTAGCTAGACAGACTACCAGTCCACTAGCTTGACTAAATACTAGTACCCTAGCTAGACTGACTACCAGTCTCCTAGCTAGACTGAATACCAGTCACTTGCTTGACCGACCACCAGTCCACTAGCTAGACTGACTACCAGTCCACTAGCTTGACTAAATACTAGTACCCTAGCTAGACTGACTTCCAGTCCCCTAGCTAGACTGAATACAAGTCCCTTGCTAGACTGACCACCAGTCCCCTAGCTAGACTGAATATTAATCCCTTGCTAGAATGACCACCAGTCCCCTAGCTAGACTGATTACCAGTCTCCTAGCTAGTCTGACTCCCAGTCCACTAGCTAGACTGACTACCATTCTACTAGCCTGTCTAAATATTAGTACCCTAGACTGACTACCAGCTCCCCTAGGTAGACTGACTTCCAGTCCACTTGGTAGACTGACTAACATTTCCCTAACCTGACTAAATACTAGTCCCCTATCTAGACTGACTACCAGTCCACTAGCCTGACTGAATACTAGGCTCTTGCTCGACTGACCACCAGTCCCCTAACTAGACTGACTTTAAGTCTCCTAGCTAAACTGACTTCCAGGCCCCTAGCTAGACTGACTACAAGTCCCCAGTTACCTAACTAGACTGACCACCAGTCCCCTAGCTAGACTGACTACAAGTCCCCTAGCTATAGTGACTACCAGTTACCTAACCAGACTGACTTCAAGTCTCCTAGCTAGACTGACTCCCAGTACCCTAGTTAGACTGACAACCAGTCCACTAGCCTGACTGAATACTAGTCTATTGATAGACTGACTATCAGTACCCTAGCTAGACTGACTAACATTTCCATAGCTAGACTAAATACTAGTCCCCTAGCTAGACTGACTACCAGTACACTAGCCTGACTGAATACTCGTCTCCTAACTAGAATGATTACAAGTCATCTAGCTAGTCTGTCTAACAGTAAACTAGCTAGACTGACTACCAATAAATTAGCTAGACTGACTGCCAGTCCAATAGCTAGACTGACCACCAGTCCCCTAGCTAGACTGAATACTAGGCTCTTGCTAGACTGACCACCAGTCCCTTAACTAGACTGACTTCAAGTCTCCTAGCTAGACTGACTCCCAGCACCCTAGCTAGACTGACTACAAATCCACTAGCCTGACTGAATACTAGTCTCTTGATAGACTGACCACCAGTCCCCTAGCTAGACTGAATACTAGGCTCTTGCTAGACTGACCACCAGTCCCTTAACTAGACTGACTTCAAGTCTCCTAGCTAGACTGACTCCCAGCACCCTAGCTAGACTGACTACAAATCCACTAGCCTGACTGAATACTAGTCTCTTGATAGACTGACTACCAGTACCCTAGCTAGACTGAATACTAGTAACCTAACTAGATTGACTTCCAGTCCCCTAGCTAGACTGTCTACCAGTTACCTAACAAGACTGACCACCAGTCCCCTAGCTAGACTGAATACTAGTCCCTTGCTAGACCGACTACCAGTCTCCTAGCTAGACTGACTACCAGTCTCCTAGCTAGACTGACCACCAATACCCTAGCTTGACTGACTGCCAGTCTCCTAGCTAGACTGACTGCCAGTCCAATAGCTAGACTGACTACCAGTACCCTCGCTAGACTGACTACTAGACTGACTACCAGTCTCCTAGCTAGACTAACTACCAGTCCACTAGCTTGACTAAATACTAGTACCCTAGCTAGACTGACTTCCAGTCCCCTAGCTAGACTGAATACAAGTCTCTTGCTAGACTGACCACCAGTCCCCTAGCTAGACTGAATATTAGTCCCTTGATAGAATAACCACCAGTCCCCTAGCTAGACTGACTACCAGTCTCCTAGCTAGTCTGACTACCAGTCCACTAGCTAGACTGACTACCAGTCCACTAGCTTGACTAAATATTAGTACCCTAGCTAGACTGACTACCAGTCCCCTAGACAGACTGACTAACATTTTCCTAGCTTGACTGAATACTAGTCCCCTAGGTAGACTGACTACCAGTCCCCTGTCTAGACTGACTACCGGTCCCCTAGGTAGACTGACTAATATTTCCCTAGCTAGACTGAATACTAGTCCCCTAGCTAGACTGACTACCAGTACCCTAGCTAGACTGACTACCAGCTCCCCTAGGTAGACTGAATACTAGCCCCTTGCTAGACTGACCACAAGTCCCCTAACTAGTATAATTATTGCATAAAGAGTATGTATTACTGTATGTAGCTTATGTAGGTGTGTAGCGTATGGGTAACTGTGTGTAGGGTATGTATTATTGTATGTAGCGTACACATTACTATTTTTAGCGTATGTATGTAGCGTATCAATTACTGTATGTATTGTATGAATTACTGTACGAACGTATATATGCTACTCGTATTTTATTTAGGATCACCTATATTTTGAAAAGAAAACAGAAAGTTAGAAAGGATATTATATTTTCCTTCCTTACTGTTTTGGGCGAATATGTTAGCCTTCCAAATCAACGCTTTTCCACGTGTACACCCCTTTCAAAAGCTAAGCTAGGCTAAGTAAGGCGTTGTTGAACTTGTTAAGGAAATCAATTTGATGAATATTCTTTGCGTGTTTTTGTTTTAATATGGCACAGAATCGAACCAGACAACGGTTAAATGACGGTGAAATAAATAGGGGCTTCGGAATGTTGCAAGCTAGCATGTCTCAACGTCAGGTTGCATCAGACCTTGGGGTGTCTCAAAGTGTGGTGGCAAGAATGTGGAATCGTTTCCAAACTAACTGGAACCCTTCCACTCAGACACTTAGGAACCATCTCCATGAGGCTGGTTTAAGGTTCATGTAGACCAGCAATACGAGTTCCCTTAACTGCCCGCCATGTTAGGGACCGATTAGATTTGACTCAAGCTCACAGCACTTGGACTTCAGGAATGGGAACTGGTTCTTTTTACTGACAAGTCCAGATTCTGTAACGACTTCACCGACAGGCGCGTTAGAGTATGGAGACAACCTGGGGAGAGGTTCCAGACAGGTAACGTTGTAGAACATGACCGATATGGCGGACGTTCAGTGATGGTGTGGGGAGGCATAGGCCTCCGTGGGAGACTGACCTCCATGTCTTCCATTATGGTACCCTTACGGTTCGGATTTACTGCAATGACATCCTTGATGCCTATGTCAGACCCTACGCTGGTGCTATCGGCCCTGGCTTCATCCTTAAGGACGATAATGCTAGACCACATAGAGCAAGGGTGACTGAGCAGTATCTACAGCAAGAGACTATTCACCGAATAGATTGGCCAGCCCGCTCGCCGGATCTAAATCCCATCGAGCATGTGTGGGACATGCTGCAGACAGCTCTCTCTGCCAGAAATGTTCAACCAAGAACGCTCCAGGAGCTGGGAACAACTTTAGTAGCTGAGTGGAACGCTGTCCCACAAAACCGGATACGCGATCTCATTCGGGGCATGCGCAGACGTTGTGAAGCTGTAATTGATGCTTATGGCCGTCACAACTGATACTAAAACAGTTTCTGTTTATTTAGGATGAGTTTTGTTCAATTTCAGTTTTATAGTGAATACCTCGTTGTTACCAATTTTAACCCTTTTCCTGTGGCTCATTTTCCGACTGTAACTACGATAATTAAAAGAACAATCAATTTTTCATAAGTAATCTCAGTATAACAAAACAAAATATTCATTTTCACATATGCCCAAAAATAAAAGTGATCCTTCACAAAATGTGAGTAGTACATCTGTATATATTATGTAGCGTATAGACTATGTATGTAGCGAATGCAGTACTGTTAGAAGCGTATACATTACTATTCGTAGCGTGTGCATTACCTTATACAATTTATGTATTACAGTGAACGGCTTATGTATAACTTAAGATAGTTAGTAAATAACCGTACACACCGTGTTTTAACCCTATACGCATTACGTATATTTATCTGAACCCTGTACGTTAATAACCCAGTCCAATTTGAACATAACTCTGTACAGGGTATGTTCATAACCCGTTGCGGAGTATGTAAATAATACTGTTCGCGATTTAAAATAATCATTAAGACATGTTCTCTGTTAATGCCCGTGTGCAGACTATTTAAAATACCATGTAGAATGGATATTAATGACTCATTATGTGAACAATCTTGACCAGAGTATAAATACCCCCCCCCCCCCCCCCCCCCCCCCCCCCCNACCCTGTTATATGTGTAGATAAATATAACCTTGTGAGTTTTGGTTTGTGTTTTACGTACTATTAACATGCATGGTTTTGGTTGTGGAGGAACGCTAGAGTACCCAGATAAAACCCACAGATCTGCGACCAGTATCTGCCGACTGCCCCTGGTAGGCATCGAACAGTGGAGGGCTAGTGATCGTAGATGGTCAGAGGCCTTAACCAGCTGTCAACCAATGCGGCCCGAAATAGCATTGTACCCTGTATGCAAATAACCTATCTACAGTGTGTGGTAACCCTGTACATAATATAAAACTAGCCATGTACACAGTATGTAAATAATCTTGCACGGAGTATTAAAACCCTTGTCAATGGTATGTAACGTGTAGGTAGTATCAAAACGCCACATTGCACTTATTATGTAAATTATCCTGTATACAATACTGAGTCTTTTAATTAACAGGTAGAGTTTCAAGGACTGATTTCAGTGCATGTACATTTGTTACATACGTTCACATATACAGCATATCTGATTTAGTAGAATTTATTATTAAGATAAGAATTGTCAAGTTATGTGTTTTTTTATGTTGACAACTGTGAGCATGAGGCATTTTATAGGACGTTTTATTCATGAAATCATTATTTTGTTACTGTACATACTTTGCCAATACCATTATCAATACGTTTCAGTCTGTTAAATTTCAGTTTATTGCACACAACCTTGCACTCATTAATTGATATGAATTATAAAGTCTTCCTATATTTAAGTATGATTTCACGTTTTTCGTATAACATTGAATTAACATAACTATTCCTTTAACACGGGTTCTCTATCATTTCAGATCGAGCCATATTGACAAGGCATCATGGGGAACAGTGTCAACGTAGCAGGCCTAGCAGAGGAATTCCAAGTATCGCAGGAGGAAATTGTAGAATTGAAGAGGATTTACAAAGAAAACTGTGGAGGAAGTCGTTTTTTGTCTCGAGATAAATTCCGAAAGGTGTACAATAAAGTATTTCCTGGAGATGCATCATCGTTTGCTGACATCATGTTCAATAAATTTGACACAGACGGTGACGGCAAGGTTGACATGAGAGAGTTTATTGTAGGCCTACTGATGAGCGACGCAAAAAACGTAGATCAGAAAATAAAGTTTGCATTCGAAATGTACGATATCGATAAATCCGGAACAATATCTCGGGATGAAGTTATACAGATATCACAGGTAAGCTCCACACATATCATAACGAATCAGAGGTGAGTTTCGCATACAGATATCACAGGTAAGCTTCGCATCCATTATAAAGAATCAGAGGTAAGCTTCGCATACAGATATCACATGTAAGCTCCACACACATTATAAAGAATCATAGGTAAGCTTCGCATATTTATTTCATACTTACTAATAAATACGTTGTTTTTTTTTGTATATGCGATACGACACAATTGCTCTTACCCATATCAGCCCTCGCCGTATCACACCTCAAAACCCGTATCAGCCCGCAAAAATCAGCCCGCAAAACCTGTATCACACCTCTTTTGGAATTTTTTCGTTTTTCAATATTTCAAAAGAAAAATAGCTTAAGATAGTAGTTTTATTAGTAAGTATGTAATAAACAGAATAAAACATGTCTTTTTCCATTTCACACCAAGCATCAACCCTCGACCAATATCAGCCCTCGGGCCTTCGCCCTTGTGCTGATATTTCAGTCTCGGGTTGATAATGGGTGTGATATGGAAAAAGGCATGTTTCATTCTCTATCTAATACTGATACAATGGTTAAGTTTAGAAGGGTTTAAAGATAAGCTCCACATACTTTATAACGAATAGGAGGTTAGCTTCGCGTACAGATATCATAGGTAAGTTTATACGGGTTTAAAGATAAGCTCCACATACTTTATAACGAATCGGAGGGTAGCTTCGCGTACAGATATCATAGGTAAGTTTATACGGGTTTAAAGATAAGCTCCAAATATTTTATAACGAATCGGAGGGTAGCTTCGCGTACAGATATCATAGGTAAGTTTATACGGGTTTAAAGATAAGCTCCACATGTTTTATAACGAATAGGAGGTTAGCTTCGCGTACAGATATCATAGGTAAGTTTATACGGGTTTAAAGATACGCTCCAAATACTTTATAACGAATCGGAGGGTAGCTTCGCGTACAGATATCCCAGGTAAGTTTATAAGGGTTTAAAGATAAGCTCCATATACTTCATAATGTTTAACGATAAGCTCCATATACTTTAAAGCGTTTAAAGATAAGCCCCGTACACTTCATAAGGTTTAAAGATAAGCCCCGTACACTTCATAAGGTTTACAGATAAACTCCATATACTTCATAAGGTTTAAAGATAAGCTCCATATACTTTATAACGTTTAACGATAAGCCCCACAAACTGGTTTAACGACTTTATAACGAATCAGAGGTAAGCGTTACACAATTTATAAGATTAACAGGTGTGCACTATATAATGATATCACAGGTAGGTTTTATGTTTATTTATAGTTTACTTAGTGTCCTGTATCAAAGGATTGATCGAGGCTAAGGTCGATGTCGCTTATGTCTGTATATCGTAGAAAACAAGTAAAGCTTCATACAATAGCAGTTACTTTAAAGTAAAACTAAATATGGACTGTTCAGACAGGCTTATTTGGACAGCCAGGTAAGTTATACCTGTAAAACTATATTTAAGGATTGCAACAATAGAAATGCCCCACATATATAACAAAGATGAAATTTCTACTTTCACACCTATTCACATTTATTATGTACGGTAGGAAATGCGTATACTTGTGTGTGTATAGTTACATGTCTGCCCTTTACAAACTAGGATATTTAAAACTAGTGTAAATATTGGCAATGAATTTGTATGCACTAGTTTTCGTCTGCCTTCTATCATACGTTTGAGATGTAATTGTAAACGTGTTTATAATGCTACCAACAAAACGTCTTTGTGTTTTTCTCAAGGAACTTGATTGTGTATTTTTTTCCTACGCAGGCCTACTCGCGGATGTATAATACAGATGACGGACCTACGGTCGCTGACAGGTTGTTTAGGTTTATGGACAAGAATGATGACGACGAAATTTCGTTCGAAGAATTCGATGAAGCAGCACGTAACAACAAAGAAATCCTTAACCTCCTTTTCCCCAGACCCCCGGAGCCTGTGTAACAAAGAAATCATTAACCTCCTTTTCCTCAGACCACCGGAGCCTGTGTAACAAAGAAATCCTTAACCTCATTTTCCCCAGACCCCCGGAGCCTGTGTAACAAAGACATATTTAACCTCCTTTTCCCCAGACCCCCGGAGCCTGTGTAACAAAGAAATCCTTCACCTCCTTTTCCCCAGACCCCCGGAGCCTGTATAACAAAGAAATCCTTAACCTCCTTTTCCCCAGACCCCCGGGGCCTGTGTAACAACAAAGAAATCCTAAACCTCATTTTCCCCAGACCCCCGGAGGGGGTGTTCTCGTTTCCCCCACTTTTTATATAACAAAGGAAAATGTTGATTTAGGAAGACCATGGCAAACCAATTATAGTCTGTTTTATACTTACCCCACAGGTAACTTACCTGTGTAAAAGTTACCTGTGCGACTTGTAGCTTTGTTGGGTAAAAATAGGGTTTTAATACTTTTTTGAGGTTTAAATATCTTTATATGTAATCGATATATTTGTATACTTATACATATGTAGAGTTTACAGTCAAATATTTACATTACACTTTTAAACAGATAATATAGAATATAACAGAACTACATAAGAGTTCACAATATATTACAGTTTTAAAATACATTACCAATATTCACATATTAAGAATAGTAAAGTTTAATAATAGCAATCTCAAATTGACCCCCTCAAATGTATATCATATCTCCAATTTAAAGTCCAAGTCCAACAGCCAAGAGGCAGATGTTGTTATCTATCCCAAATGTAAGAGATGTTATCTTTATTTGATACTTATATATCATGTATTGTGAATTACGGGTGTGAAGTATGGAGTTACAGTCCTGCACCGCAGATTGAAAATATACATTTATTATTTTTGAAAACCGTATTGGGTGTCAGGAAAACAGTAAATAATGCCATGTTTTATTTTGAACTTGGTCGTTACGCTTTGCATATACAGCGTAGGATTTCTATTGTAAAGTACTGTCTGCAAATATTAAAGACTAATAACTGTATTTTGAGGGCCTGTTACGATGAACTTTTAGAGCTTTATAACAGGAAACCAAATTGTAAAGCAAATTGGGTTTATCATCTGAGACGTGATTTGTGTACGTTGGGTTTTGGAGATGTGTGGTTGGCACAATGTGTACCAAATGAGAAATCTTTTTTATTATTATATATACAACGCATAAAGGATAGTTTTATTCAGGAAATGAGAAACATATTCGAGACATCTTCAAAATGTTTGTTGTATAAACACATTGTTGACCGTTTTGATCTACAATGGTATTTTACAAAACCGCTATTTAGAAAAAATAAATGTATTCTTGCGAAATATAGATTGCAAGCACATAACCTTAATATAGAGAGAGGTAGATATAATGCAGTGCCTCGAAACCAGAGATTGTGTACTTTATGTGATCTTGGAGATGTCGAGGATGAGTTTCATTTCATTCTTATGTGTCCTGTGTTTTTAGAATTAAGAGTATCGTATATCAAGCCATATTATCGTATTCGTCCTTCTGTGTTTAAATTAATAGAGCTACTGTCTAGCAAAAATTTTAAACTTATTAGAAATTTAAGTAAGTACTTGATTCAGGCAACTGTTAAGAGAAGTCGTATATTATGAAATATAAGCTGTATCAAATTCTTGCTATAAACGTTTTGTTACTGTATAATGCGATTGAGATCTATGTCTTTTATTTCACAATAAGTTATAATCTCATTTCATTATATAATATATAGTACTCGTTCTACCTTCATGTTGAGGTTGTATGATTGACTTTGAAGTTTTGTTATTTCCTAGAAATTTGATTAGATTAAGGCTTTATTTGTATTATTTCATAAACAACTAAATTATGCAACTAAATTAGGCTTCATAAGAGTCCGCTAAGTTACCTTAGGAAAACCTTAAAGTTCCCCCAAACTGATGACAATTTCATAATTTATAAATATTATGTATTGAATCTATTGCATATGTTCTCGGCCATTGTACAAGATATTTGTTAAGTATTTATCTATATGTATATTTCTGTACGCCTATATGCAATGTGCATTTGGTAATGAATTGAATTGAATTAGCATAGGCCGTGATCACTTTTAGCTCACATGGATGGAAATGATAGCTTGGATAATTATAGATGTTCAATGATTTTTATGATAGTTATAAGATACTTATAACATCTAGTAATTTTGATTAATTAACTGATTAATTAGCTGTTAAACATCACACTCTTAGTCACACATTACATTCTTACATTTTGTACAAGGTAATGTAGGCATCTTATTAAATGTTACAATAATAAAGATTATTTAATAAATAGTTATATTAATATTTTTAAAGTTCCAGAAAATGAAATAACACATTTCATCTTATCATCTTATCAGCAGCACAAGGACTACAAAATGGATATATATAATACTGAATATATATATTTATATATATGATTAATATTTAAATAATTTTAACATTTATCATTACAAATCTGAAAAAACTTATATAATGTTTTTTTTAATTAAATATGATAAAACACCACCTTAGATAGAAGTTTTAATAAAAATTTCTAGGAAATAACAAAACTTCAAACCACAGGTAACAACACAGGTAAACACAGGTAAAAGCACAGGTAAGTACTGCCCATACTACTTAGAAACAGACTATAATCCTTCTAACAACATTATTCCCCCCATGTTATTTTAAAAAGTGGGGGAAACGAGAACAAGCCCCCCGGAGCCTGTGTAACAACAAAGAAATCCTAAACCTCCTTTTCCCCAGATCCCCGGAGCCTGTGTAACATTGGAGTTTTATTACCGTAATTATAAGTCATTAGGAAATAAGGGGGAAAACTACACATGTTAGTGAAATACTTACACAGACGCGTCAGAACATGTCAACAATGCGTAAGCTTTGCATGCAAAATGTCGTGTTTTGTAAGTGTAAAACTGATACTAGTGGTGATCAAGTTGTCAGTGCTTGAAGTATTCAAAGCACATTGACGGTTTTCAAATGTGTTGTTTTTCTTTGGTGCAAGCAATCACACTTACTTGACTCAATACTCACATTTATTTGTAAAAGTGTTAGTTTATGTCTTTTTGTCAATACCTTGTTTTTCAGGTTGAATAATAGGCTAATTACGTAGAATTATTTATTTTTCAATCTTAACATATATGTCATTGCTTTCGAACATACCAAAACGTCAAAGCCTTCATTCATTTCATTAGTTTTTTCGGCCTCAAAAGATTTCAATATTGTAGCTAATTAAATAGGTTACTTAGACAAAAAGACAAAATTAACCTGATTTTGATTTTATAATATACCGACAATCTACATATATTGTACATTATGTTCTTGTATATAACATAGACTTTGGTTTGCTGTCATATTTACGTAATCATGTGAATGCTCTCTAACTAGAGACTTGTATTTATCGCTCACTGGATCTACTATTTGTCTCATTCAAAATGTAAGTTTGAACATTCTTATTTTTCAAATGACATTTGATATAGCTTCTATTCTAGCTAGATAAAATCAAATATGATTCAAAACTGCACAGGAGGTTCCTTATCGGGCCTTATCTACTGGTCCTAAATCACCTAGCAAATACCTCCACATGTACATGTATGAGAGTCTGCGTGGCTGAATGTAACTATTCTGTTTTTCGTCAGGATCGTGATTTCAACAGCATTTTTATCTATAGTGTCACCTCACTTGAATGTTCCATAGCAGACACAGTGACCTGCCTCCAACCAAGTTTTGAGAACACGAGAAATACTCTTTCTCTGAAAAGCCATGCTGCAACAAATATGGGAACCGAACCCTGGTCGTCTGCACGAAACACTTGAGTGTTGCTGCGAAACTCACCTTATAGCTTTATTGTTTAGCGACAAGGCTGGATGTCCTGCTTTTTGTCGTGCAAGCATGTAATAGTGTTACTTGTCCGTTAACAGTGTCCCCTTTTCGGCGTTAGCAATACACACAGTATTTACATTTTGTAACTGTCATGTTTAGTGGTTATACTAGAAAATAGCAACGGAATAGAACAATCGAACTTATAATAATTAATATCTAGTTTGTAACGTTCGACACATCATCGAGAATATCGGCAGCTTAATTGTAGTTGTTATTCTAAGCCATACTCTTCATAAGGCAGAAAGTTAAACATTTCTTTATAATACAATGTGGCTTTTATTCAGTGCGAGCAAACAAGGAAACCCATATCAAGTATTTATCCACGCATAACGCATATGATTGTAATGAAACAAGTAACAATGGAGTGACATCGTTAGTTCAAGGTGTGAGCTTAATATGCCTTAGTTTTCTTTGTCTGTTTCTACTTCATGTTTTCAACAAAATGCATTACTAGTATTTCACGACGATACGGTATTACATCACCAAAAGAGCTTCAAACTAACTTTTATTTGTATTAAAGAGGACATGTTTGTATGCCTAAATTTTAATCACATGGTTGGGGTTTTACATACAATAGAGACAAATTTATAAAATGAATAAAAAAAATATCATATACATGTGTATTGTAAGATTAGACTCGGACACACTCGTAATTGCACACATATACACGTTTGCAAAGGTTACAGTGTGCCAACCATGAATTAAACTCTATAGCTGTTTTGTTCTTCTTTGACACATTTGAGATGCTAGAGCCAAAAAGGTGACACTTAATAACAATTTATTGATATTAATCATTTATTGTAATACTATCAATACAATCTCGTTCTATTTTAGTGTAGTAAGACTAGACTTACTCAAGTTTAAACTGTAAAGAATGACACAGATCTGGCTGTGACTGGACTTAACATTGCTTTGGTATCGGTTGAAATTAAAAAAATATATTCAATTTTCAGCCATCAGAGATTGAGTTTGTATCTAGTCCCACACCCAATTATAATGTATCATATTACATTTAACATAATCACGTTCCTTACCAAACAGCTTTAACTATAACATATATGACTAATTAAATGTTTTCATAAACATCTGTATACATTTTGATAGGGTTGTTTTTTAAGATAGCTAAGATGTTAACATGCTTGCAATGATTATATTATGGTTTGTTCTTTGTATAGCTCATTATATTGCTCAACATACCTCGGCGTGACAAGGTAGGGGAGACAACCCGGTTTACTCTCTATATATATATATCGACCACATAAGTACAAGGAGTAATAGCATATTTTGATTTAAGTTGGCAAACAAATGTCCTGAAAGACAACAGGGACAGACAAACCTTACTTGTTTACTATTAAACTAAAGGAATCTTTGCTGACAGCTTATTGTAAATTTTATCACGGAAACACAATTAATATAAATCAAAGATAGTTTTTTACATTTGTATACATTTTAATTTTCCTTTAAAATCATTAACAGTTAAATACTTTGCAAACAGGCCACTGTTTTACGTCAAACAAAGTGTGATTTTTCAAGTCAAAATTTGAACTAGTTTTGAAAACGTTTGAAGTGATACTTATTACACATCTGATTTTGAGAATTTAGAGCGTTCTTAATCTTAAGTGAATTTGTGATTCTGTGACCAGTTAGATTATATTGTAGCTCTTTATGTTCCTAATTGATATCACATCAATATGTAGTTATATAAGATATATACTTTTTCATTTCTTTCAAACATGTTTTATTGACACTGATTAGTCAAAGTTCTTACAGTTTACTAGGCCTTCCCAAATCTATACTTTAAAATATGAAAACAAAATTATTTATGGTAGCTCATTTAATAACTATATAATATATCTTAAAAAATATGGGATACATCTCATATCATGTATGGTATATATTAAATAAGATATGTAAGACATCTAATATAAATCAGACGTTGCTATTTTATATAAGATATGTTATCCATTATATAAGATATGTTATACATTATATAAGATATGTAATACATAATATAAGATATGTAATACATACATAAATGGTCGTATACAATTATAAGACATACATGATCGACATCGCCAATTTTGTTTGTCATAATGTTCTTTGAGTTTATAGTTGCCTTATGTAGTATATGTTGATATTCGTATATTTGAATGACAGAATGGATCCCAGTGTGGTTTGAACCAGTAGTTTTATATAATACATGAATCTCAGAGTATTGTTGCAGTTGTAGACTTCCGGTTTATTGTGGTCCGTAACGGATCCTATTTTGAAAATCATAGTACAATTTCAATGAATCTGGATGTTGGGCTGATTAAATTCATGTCAAATATCACCTGGTCTTTGATTTGCATTCTTTATGTAACACGATACTACTCACTATCCATGTATCCCCACATCACCACTGTACAATGCATGTACTTCCTTATAAATAACAATCAACAAAACTGAAACTATGTTTATAAGAGCGCAGCTTTCTATTCTCTGATACAAGTATGAACAAACGCTCAAACGGCCTTTATTCCTAAAAACATGCACTTAGAAGTAATGATCGCCTTGGGTTTATACAGAAACAAAATTGTGGTGTGAGGCTACTGTAATTTGTGGGAGCTACACATAAGCCTGATTTACAATACCATAGCAAGCACGCTTTACACAATACCATACAAAACAGAAAACAACGATGACGTTATTGGTACAACGTCACAAAAATCAACACGTAATTCAAAATTATCAATTAAGGCGAAAAGCAAATGTTGACATTTCTTGGTGGAGACAGCTCGAATAAAGATTTTATGGTAGACTGTTTTTGAGCAAACTGTTAAACCGGTATAAGATATCCGGGCTGTCTTATTCATTAAGTTAGTTTACATTTAAAGTGCCATCCTGAAATATTTACTATTCACTATGATGATGTCGTATATATTCCGCGTATATATTTTGTACGCTAAACCATCGTCATAGCCAGGGATCCAATTCGAAGATAAGTATATCTACTAACACGCCCTATAGAAAGATGATTACGGTCTGTTTATTATTTAAATATCTATAAAATAACCATGTACGATGGTCACTGGAGGCGTTCAGAAGTCAAATATTTAACATTCAGGTTTGACCTTATCGAACGTTGACGTGAACGTTGGGATTGTTAAATTCTGACCCCGTCAATGCTGTTTACCGGTAGGTTGACCTTTGTCCAAAAGCCGTATTCGTATTCTGTCATTGATTATGTACATATATAAGAGAGATTTGACATCAGACAGACAGAAAGAGAGCTTTACAAACGTAACAAACATCGGCAGCGAATGATATTGAATACCGAGAGCTCTTCATCATTGGAGGTAAGTATGTTGCTATGATATTCTTTTCATCTCTGCCCCTTCTTCAGTTTGCTGTGATGTTTGTCAATCTATTTTCAATACGAATTTTTGACTTTGTTAAGTACAGTAAAACCTGACCGATCCGACACCGTTGTGACTCGGCATGTACAGTTACTATACTAAATAGGATATCATCGGAATAAACATATTTGTCTTGGTAGTTTTCATAATATGTGGCACTTACATATACCAATTGTTTGATAAGAGAGAACAGAACATTAAAGTACCCAGGTTGGATTGAAGAGATTATACTGGTTTTGTTTACCGACCACCATTTTGTTTTAACAATGTGGCGTTACCTGTTTAGATATTGCTTTTAACAAAAGTAAGGCTCATTTTATAAAATATTGAAACAGCAAAATGAATATTTGATAGGGACAGACATTAGCTTCGCCATAATGTAACAACACTACGAAAGTCATACGTACATAAAATACAAACGTTAAGACATGTCATTTAATATAACATTTATCAGACTAACAATGATGCAAAATGTATTATAATATGTATACATGATACATTCAGAAAAAATAAGATCTAACGACCGACGAGAAAAACAAGCTACTTTCACTCTTCACATGGCTCTTCAGGTTTATTTCATACCAACGTAATCCATATGGACATCTTTTTATAATACATATATAACAACCTTGAATCAATATCTTACAGTACCAAACATAACACCATCAGCTACATGTACAAACCCAGGTAACTAGAAAACCTTACTGATACAGAAAAAACAAAGGTAAAACACCGTTTCTCTCACGTGAAATGGATTTTAATACTTATAACAGCATTTCGATGTCTTTGATTATTTGCCACTTAAATTCACACTTGAAATTCAGCCCTGGAAATCATTAACTGTGACATTAGTAGGTTGCGGTTCTTGTGTTCAAAACGATGCTGTTTTTTTTATGCTGAAAACAAATTTTAGATACATAAATTCGTCGAGTACGACATTAAATTTTAAGTGTTGCTTTCAATAACTGTTTATTCCCTAATTTGATCATCAGAATTCACAAAATACGTATTTGAATTTACATTTTACATTTTCATCTCATACATATACATAAATGAAATATCCTCGTCCCCTTTTTTTGCACATCAATAAGACTATCTGGGTAAAACCGACATCCTATTCCTGGTTAGGCAAACAGAGATCAATTTATTCTTTTCCATGTCATGTATTTCAAACAAACCATGAAAAGTCTGGGAAATGCCAACATTCATTGCCGGGTATGGTGAACGATCGATTAATCCTTTTATTATTCATTCCAACACAATGATAAACAGAGCACTATGATAATGACAACAGACATATTGGTTATATCAAATAACATTTTTTACTAAATATATCGACAAACCCACACGTAAAGACACATATACAGATAGATAGCTGTTATACCTTGGTTTACCTGTAGTTCGATGATGATTTAGTCTACTGTAACCCTGTGATGAATTATTGATGACTTACATGTACTTTCCCATAATACAAGGGATGCATGTGTTCTGGAAAAGGTATACCCAACATATCGAACAAAGTGAACGAGTGGACATTGGCAGCACTTCTTTGAAGATATATACAGGTAATGTTACAGCTGTTTACAATCTATTACACGCATCTATCATATTTCTATGTCATGGTTCTACATCAGGTTTAAACATGTGCATGGACCTGGTATTGACTGAATCAGAAGGTATTTATTAATCAGCTGTCTACGAATGATTCACAGAAACCCAACACATAATGTCAGGCAGTTCGTCAAATCGTATTATGTTGGCTTTGATATGTATATTATATCGATGCCTCGATATAACATATACCATTTCGGTCATTAATCTATTATATCATTAACTACAGCGGCTGAATATTTCAAAATAGAAAAATCGTTTAACTTCGCAGAATAAGATGTACCGGATTGGCAGACGAATAATCAAATATGCAACAAACAGTAATATTAAGGAGGATATGCGTGGATTAGGTTTGGCTTCCTTTTATCTTGGCGTTGCTTAAGGTCCTGTATTGGACAGTAGTCTGTCCCGTTAGGTTTATGTCCTAGGAATACGAAAGCAATTGGGCCATGACATTCATAGCTGATATGAATATTATATGATTTTGAACGCTGTAGCACGGTCAGATCTTGTTAATGCTTTGTTAACAAACATAGAAAACAAGCAGCCAACGTGATAAGTATGGTTGATGAATAGCTATAACCGATGTTTTATCGACCTTTGTTCATTTTCTGTGAAATATGCTGACCCAGTGTCGATAATATACAATGAAACCTTTCTTTATTGATTGCCGTGTTTTTGTTTTAATTTACAGATTTTAACATATACATTTTGTGTAATAACGAAATCCATCCTCTTATTTGTCAAAATGGGGAATTCGTCTCACAAGGGTCTGTCGAAAGAGGTAATTCGACAACTGAAGAAAGAATCAGACTTTTCTGAAAAAGAAATAAAAGAATGGTATGAGGAATATCATCAAAGTAAAAAGGGCAGCTATCTCACCGTTAAAGAGTTCAAAGATGTCTACTCTAAGATGTATGGCGCAGACGCAGGACAGTTTGCTGAGCACGTCTTCAGAACGTTTGACACAAATAGGGACGGCAAAGTAGACTTTAGAGAGTTTTTGATTGGACTTAGTGTGACGTCAACAGATAATATCGACCAGAAGTTGAGGTGGGCCTTCACCATGTATGACGTGGATGGAGACGGGACAATATCAAGGAAAGAAATGTTAGATATGATGGCGGTACGTTTTCGTCATTTTTTCCAATTTGTGTTGTAAATTACACCGACACGTCGACATCAGGTTTACCACCTCATTTCACACCAAGTTGTTTCAAACTCCCTTTTTCTTATTTTTTGTTTGTTTTCCTAACAAATCATTATTACATCAGATTTTATTGTGGCAATACAACGAAATGTTGCAGTGTTATTTAATCCTGAGTTCAGTTATTAGGTAGAACGATACCGTTCTGTATTTTTATCTATATGTCTATATTTATCTAAAATGATCATGCATGCTAATGGACATGTATTAGATATAATATTGACTTATATTAATCTGCCAGATAGACAGACAAACAGGAAATACTTAATTTCATATATTGCCAACCCTTTTATGACACCGATAATTCCCTAGACAAATGGTATCAATTTAACGAGGGTTTATTGTGCAATTTATTTTCGAGGACTTTATACATTTTGAAATGCTGATGTGTTTCGGTATTTTAAGCTTGTAACAAATATCTCATTTCAGTCTATTTACCGAATGACACCGTCGATTGTAAAACCGCCAGATGTCGCTACGCCGGAAATGATGGCAACCAAGTTATTCGGAAACATAGACAAAAACGGCGACGGCTCAATAACATGGCAGGAGTTCCAAATGGGTGCAAAGGCAGATCCCCTTGCCCTCAACATGTTGCAATTGAATCCCGATCCACAGTGAACTTCAGATTATCATATGTCATGACTTCTCTATGTTTCGTATTTATAAATAAGATTACAAATTATCATATGTCATGACTTCTCTATGTTAAGTATTTATAAATAAGATTACAGATCATCATATCTCAAGACTTCTCTATTTTTCGTATTTATATATAAGATTACAGATTATCATATGTCATGACTTCTCCATGTTTTGTATCTATATATAAGATTACAGATTATCATATGTCATGACTTCTCTATGTTTCGTATTTATATATAAGATTACAGATTATCATTTGTCATGACTTCTCCATGTTAAGTATTTCTTAAATAAGATGATGAATTAAACATGTGACTTTCGTATAGGTCAAGGTCATTTGCTTTAAGCAATGGGTAACAGCAGTAAAACTGTTTGACAGTAAATATAGAATTTTTAACAATGTGTAGAAAACATATACAGAGGAGCATTGTTAAAATGGAAAGTGGGTTTCTGAACTAAAATAAGAATAACAATTTTTCCAGAAATAAAAATTGTATACATGTATATATATTTTTTACTTTAAAGTAACTTAAATATACACCCAAAATTCCTCAACGGGGAAAATCTGTACTCAAATACCTCAACAAATAAAGCATGACCTTAAGTACCATAGCAAGCAAACTTTTAACTGAAATATTACAGCAAACGAAATCCGATCTCAAATACAACAGCAATCAAATTTTTAACTCAAATATCACACAGAAAATTTAAACTCAATGTTGGTACGATAAAACAACAGCAAACAAGGCCAAATCAAACAAAAGTAAAGCTATCATAAACACCCACAAGCAAATATGCTGAAAGAGTACCCGTCATGATTTCTTTCTTAAAAATAAGACAAGTGTCGTAAATATATTAGTTATTTATGAAAAAGGTTTGCAGAAAGTGAGTACAAATATATTCCTCTATTTCAAACATATTTTCCTCTTCGATGAAAATCATTTTTGTATGCATATGTTTTTGAATTTGTGATAAATATGTAAATAATGTGCTGCACAATCACTTCTTTTATTGACGGTGAAAACATGCAATCATTTAATCAGTATTTGAATTGTGAAATTGTTTTATTTGAAATTTATGTAAAAGTGCTTTATGTACAATAAAAATAAATCCAACAAACAGTGTCTGTCTTCTTTATCAACTAACAGATAATACAGATAGCTTCGGTTAGGGCGGGCAATAATTGAATACAAGGTCACCCTGTTTATACCTTGGAACTAGTCCAGAACACTTTGGCTTCTAAGGAAATATGCTTAATAAAGAATCAGAAACAGTCACTTGTATTATCACGGAGTCATCGGTCTGGAGCTACTACATGAATTCAATTCTCCGGATAGATTGAGTCCGGATAAGCAACGAATCTCTGGACACATCAGGCATGAAGTTTCTGAACTGATCAGGGCGTATTTGAATCATCTAGACTATTTAGGATAAAATTACCTATCCTTGCTTAGTTAGGACATTCTCCATTGCTTGCCCGTTAAAGACAGCAATTCACTCGTGAAAAGATAAACCTGTTATTCTCTGGGGGGAAAGACAACCTTCATGCGCTATGACGTCTCCACGTTTATCTTATCACCAGGCAAGTCGGGAATATGATTTCGGCGACATGTAATGTTGATTGTGATAAATGTTTTTTTTACTTATAACAATATATTCTTACTTATTATATAAAACTTTTGCAAATTTGGTGCTTTAAATGGATTTCTGCTTTTATGTTCAGGGTTCATCACCCTGTGAAATTAACATAATTGTAATCATCCGCGTATGTAACAGAATACAAGCATATGAACACGTTTGGAGCATTGACATTGGCATGTTTATTTCGAATATGGGAGAAAAAGAATCTTACGATGGTGTGGTGCGTGGACAGGGAAATTACAACCCTCGGGTAAGATTTAGTGGTCGAGCACTCTGTCTATGTTCTGGACAACCAAAGTCAGAGGGTTCATACTTCCCTGTCCACGGACCACACCCATATACGATCTTATTAAACTTCCATCCTTTGGAATTATTAGGCCATTACAAAGACTAGTAAGGACACTCTATGGATTAGTTATGATATCCTTATCCCATACAGGAAAATGTATGCCCGTTAAATATGAGGAACGATGCATATCACACATTGGTCATTCAACGGTTATTTTTCCAAACACACATTCATGACGAAAGTATGTGTTTGCTTCAAATAAATAATAGTAATAACATGTTTCATACATAGCCATTGATTTTGTAGAAGATAAAAGCGAACTTGTCTAGAACTTAGTAATGACACAATAGATCAATTAAGTCATACCAACTGTCGACCTTACTGCTACAGTGGTTGGGTATTGTCACGCTGTCTCTCGCACGATACACGCATGGTTAGTCACACTATTAGTATTTCCAGGAAAATATAAACAATTCATGACATACGACGACGAAGTACTTACAAAATATCGATCCTAACCATGTTTCATGAACCAAAAATTGTCTGAAAATATGTAACACTATGGGAGGTTAATATTTTAAAAAAAATGACTATTATGAAACAGACGTAATTGTTTCATTTGTAGTATTCATCATGTTAATTGCTAACTAATATATTTCGAATAGGAATTTTTTTTACCTCTATGTTTCGATCTGGATATTAATTATATTTGAAAAATCAAAAAACGTGATGAGGCGAATAATACCATGTAGTGTTGTTTAATGTGGTTCATGTAAGGGGACGTTAACTCTTCAAAATCACCTGTTTTTTTCCAAATTTTTGTTGTTGTTCCCATTGTTTTTCACGTGTCTCCTTTGCCATTGTTTTTTTTTTTCATGTCAACTTCCACGTCCGATTTTCTCTGTTGACATTGTGTTAAGTGCTTTTTCTTATTGTACGTATCAAGTATTGTCCTTTCTATTATTTATCCGTTACTTTGGATATATAAAGTATATATACCAACCTTTCCAAATACACCAAGTGAATAGTCATTGATTCTTCAATGTGATATATACATGACCCATGGATAATAATTTGTGAACCGCTTTGAGACGACCTAAGCACTAGGTTGTGATAAAGCGGTATATAAGAACCCCGAATCATTATTATTATTATACCATCTATACCCGTTGTGGTATTTAGAAATACATACCAGGACTGGATAGAAACTCTAGACGATATGCATTACCACAAGGTTAAATCGGGTGTTCTGGTTGAGTAAGCTTCCCTTACACCACATGTATCTCGTTAGGAGAGCTCTCATGTGAGAGTGAGTGATGTAGGTTACATACGATCATACAAGAACATAAAACCAGATTTTCAATCAAGGTAGACAATGAAATCATACACATGTGATTGCACCTAACAACGTTGGTACTAGATACAATCTGCCAACATTTAATAACACTGCACCATACCGCTGTTTTGTCCTTCTAGGACTTATCGGTGATGGTAGGAGCCAAAATGGTAGAAATCCGAATGGGTCTTAACTACTGCTGGACCAGAATGTGTGATGCGTGGAACTCCTTAATCATGTTTATTTCAAAAATTGAAAAAAAAAATCACCTTATTTCAGATCAATAGTGAAGAAACTGTTATTCTATGAACCGTGCGACCTGAAAATTAGGTCATGACAAAGACTATAAAATGTTTTCAATGTTGAGTGTAGCCTAAATATCAGGTTTAAAAATTCCATGGGTATGTATTGTAAAATTCGTATTCAAATCACCTTCGGAAAGTCCATAAAGTCTTATTGCAGATGGTCTATGAAAACAGTTTCGGTTTACAGGAAAGACCTGCAATGGAAGCTTTTAAAAGTGGCCCCTTAATACAGTTTTCCCTTAAAAAGGTGTGTTCTCTGACGTCGGTTTGGCTGTAGTTTATATAGAAAAACAGGTTGTGGTGTAGCAAAGCAGAGGTGGCTACAAGTTATGATGTGTTAAATGCTATTGGACCATGTCCTATTACCTAGTAGCACACAGTGCAGAACAACGTTCATACTTAGGTCCGGTTTGGGGCACTAGGCCAAGGTGGTTTCTTTTATTGAATGTAAATGATATGACCGAGATACCATTTCATGTTTGCTTATCTATTACCAAGTTTTGGTGCATTCACCTCTGTGACAGTTACGTTCATCTCTCCAGATACAGGGTGGTCGACTCTGCTGGTGGATTAATTAGTCCCCGATGTTTGTTGTAACATTGATGGCCATATTTATCGATTATGAGTAGTGGCATGGGTCGTAATTTACACACTTTACAGATTAATTAATTCGAAATTAACCAAAACTCTTCTTGATTCGTAAATTCATTATTAAGAGGTTTTACAGTAGCTCGGACAAATTGGATTTCAAACTTGTTGGCCTCTAGCATCTCCAATGAATCCTTAATAGACGAAACAGCTGTATGGTGCAGTGTGATTCAGTTTTTGCCTTGTGTATCTATTGACAATTGATTAAAATTTTAAAGCTGCAATCGCCTTTTTACGTTCATTTCATATCATATTTCACTCAATACAATTCGTTATGTAATACATGATTTAGAATATTTTTCATATCGTTATCTTGGAAGAAAACCATTCATATTTATCCAAAACTATCATTTATTTATATGACAGCTTATATCACATTAGTCTTAACACAACACTACCATGATAACAAATTAAGGTTGCCATAGAGGTTTGCAGTGTGTTAGTAAATTCGGTTTTTTAAAAACAAGCCATTTAGACCGGGTTCCAAGAATCTAATTAACTCTGACTCTTTGCTTTATCAAAAATGCTTTCGAGTAAGGTAGTGATGTATGACGAGAGCGTCATGGAACCAAAGATATATTACAGGCAGTATTGCGCTCTGTGTAGTCTTTGGATCAGTATTTCTGCTGTTAGACTATCCGTCCCCGAGGTTGGCTGAAACCTTGTAGCTGAAATTAATTTTGGCACAAGAAAAACCAGTATGAGTAATAATAAATTATCTGTTGTAAATTTTTACCGTTATAAAGGGTTTTCATAGGCACATCGGATCATGTACACGTGACCAGTGTTCAAAGATATCGATTTCTAAGTATAGCCTAATTGGAAATTCCCCGGAACCTGTCGTAGCGCATTCGCAGTTAGACCGGAACGCGATCTGTCAGACGACAGCTGGCGAACGTTTCTCCTCCGTTACATCAGAAAATGTTCAAAACTATTCAAGTAAAAATGCTGTTAACATAAAAAGGCCATTGAACACGCAGTGCATGTCCTCCATCCTTATCTTAAGAAAAAGAACCCAGACAATGTCTTCGAAAGCTACGACGCTGAACTGTTGAATTAAAACCTGGCTAAATTTTACACGGAGGCATGCGTACAAAAATCAGAACCTTGAGTTTTGTTTTGTATTATTTTATTGTTGAAGCATATAATAAAACAGTTATGGGCTTTGGTGCTGGTAAATATGATGTGATATGAACCTGAAAAAGTGATATTGACCTCACTATATTTACATTCTGTGTTGCATTTGCCTATATGTCGTTAGTAAACCGAATTGCAATATATGAGACTGTATACTACAATTTACAGTGATACGGCCAGTGTAGGAATACAGCTGGTACAAGGTAAACAAACATGGCCGAACGATACTTTCGGTATCAAAAGGCCTATAGTCGGAAAATATTATGGGTTCGTTAGCATTTAGCAATATATGTCATCGCAAAAAAATAAAGCAACTTGACAAATTATGACAATATAAATTTATTAAAAGATGTGCAGGTACCACAAAATAATTGTAAGCGGCATTCTATATACGAAATAACCAAGTTTGTCAACGTCATCACACAGGGGATCGGTTTCGAGATTTTGAGTTATGCATAACATCAGTGAATAACCACAAGACTAAAATTCAGCATTTCTAAAACCTTGTAAAAGTCGACGTATCGACAAGGTTTTAGAATGTGTATAAATACATTTTTAAGTGTTGTGGTTTTTCAGTTATGTCATCCATTATTCAAAATAACGAAACCGAGCCCCTGTGAACGTCGTCTGCTAGCGGTGCTAATCTGACCGATTAGACATGGAATCTATTTCAAACGAAATGTCCTTGGAATCGTTATCACCTACTGAAAGGACCACTTTTATTAAACATTTCCGAGTATAAATGCTTCTGAAA